TCCGAATCTTTCGCCCGCTTCCTTGCAGTTCGCACTGATCCAGGAAAATTCGTCTCAAAGGAAGCCGCTACTGCCATGTCAAAAGGATTTATTCTTAGGTGGTGCTTACTTTTCGACGTCCACCGTGAACATAACGTACGTGACCCCCCGCAATCCATTTTTCTTCGAGTTTAAATATGCTGTTCTTGCATACATGCAGATCATCCGCAATGACCAATCATTCTGAAGTAAAGTTATAACTCTCACTTTATCTAGTTCCGTTAAACGCGGCATCTTGAATTACCAAGCAAATTACTAATGACACTGACATATAAAAACTTGTCATAATAAGTAGACTAGGAATAGTCTATGAAGTAGACCACATCACATTAGAAAAATAAATCGTCCACTTTCAAAGGGCCGGCAGTGTACCTACTTGTTGAACTAATCCAGTTGATAATGCGTGGCCTTCTGCGATTGATTTTGAAGACGATTTTTCTAATTTGCGTAACTGTCATCATCTTCAGGCATTTCCGATACTTTCTAGATTTTTAAAATGAAAGAAAAACCTTTAAAAATAAAATTTAAAACTAGAGCTGTGGTAAAAAATGATACGTAGTTTTGGTAAAACAAATCTTAAAAGTAGTTTTCTAAAATATCACTTCCAAAAAAATTACAGCGGGCGATAGATTACAAACTATCGAAACTGGTTCAACGAGTAGGTACATTTACATAGAACACTACTATGTATAAAAAAAGGTAGTTCGAATCGTGTATCTCTAAAATATTTTTGATAGTTCTCACTCTATTGGCGACGTAACTATCCCGCTAAAAAACGACTTAATTATTATATCATAATGCTACGTTTTTATGCTGTACCATAATACTTCTTTTTCAACGTCATTATGACGTGAGTGGCTGACCAATAAATGACATCACTTGACGTGACTTCTGCCTGGATTGTTATTATGAATTTTAAAAGTTCGTTTTGTCCATAAGGATTTTCCTCATTAGAAATTAAATATTTTGGTAGCAATAGGTAACAGTTCTATTAGGTACCTATTGTTATTAAAAAACAATTTTAGTTAAAAGAATTGGTGTGTTTTAATTTGTTTTTATAATTGATTGATTCTAAGAAGGTATGGTTGTGAAGGTAATATCACGCAACAGAATCTAAGTTTTACATAAGATTTTTCGTTTAATCACCACACATCCACATCTATATGAGATTCCTACTACACTGAAAAGGAAATTTTATTATTTTTTTACCTCCTATGCCAAAATTAGTCCAAGGAGTTAATTTTATCTAGTTTTTTCTTTTCAGTATGGCAGTATTGGCAGTTAAATAAAAAAGTTAAAAAATGCCACAATTAGACAATTACAGACTATTGTACAATTTTTTAACATTCTTGCGCAATATTATTACACATATGTCTGATACATCGAATTGTGAACACTTTTTGAGTTCTTGCCAAGACATTCTTGATCTGCAACAAAGTGTAGCCTTGTGAATTTGAACTTCCTATAGATATACAAAGAACAGTTATTATAATCTGTATGGAATAACATTCTTTTTACCTAAATGTACTTTTCAGAATGATGCAATGTTGGAAATCCTTTGCATCAGGTGTTATCAGTTGCAAAGAAAATGTTTTTTTTTTTATTTAATGAATATATTTTAGACATATTTTGGTGACAATATAAAGCATTTACTATTTAAAAAATAAATGTGTGAAGGTCACTGAAATATAATATTATTATTAAAAAGGGTGGGAGGAAATGTATATTGTTTTATACCGTAAATGTATAATTTTTGTTACCTAATTTGCTTTATTTCTAAATCAAAATCATAACTATGTAATAAAATTATGTGCCACTGCTAGTGTTACCTTGATTATTACCATACATCTAATTAAATATAAATAAAACGTAATTATAAAATTATTAAATTAAAAACAACTACGTGTTTATTTTTATAACATAAATACATGATTATTATCCACAACAACGTATCTTTTTATAATTTTAATTTAGGAACATAATGGAGAAACTCGCATCAAAATGTTGACGCCCTAAATACTTGCAATAATATTTTTTTTTTACATATTAATAGTATATTTATGCATTTATTAATGCTCACTAAATATTTCAACTAGATATTTCCAGATACAGCTTAACTTTATAAATATGTATTTTGGGATGTAAATCACTTGAGCATCACGACAAAGTTGTTAAATAATATATGTATTTGTAGATCTGTAGAGATAACCAATATATATTAGATATATTTTAAACTACTTGCTACAGTTATTGCCCATAAATAGTAATTATGTAACATAAGATCTTTTGTGAGTGTTAAACACTTATTGTTTCTTTAACCAATAGATTTACTGTACTAATTATAAGAGCGTGTGTGAAAATTCGCTGATGTTCTGAATACAATCAACAGGGTCGATTTTTTATAATCTATATATATAGCGGCCGGCAATTGGCGGACCGCTGTCAAGATCCGGACCGCGGAAGGTAAAAAACTGGACCGCCAAAAATTTTTTTAAAGTATAATCACTCAAATTATTTAAAAAATATATTTTTCTATAGATAACAATACGTTTGAGTGCTACCCTTATCATTTTTTAATGGTTAGTACGTCAGTAAAAAAACTGACTCAAGACCGCAAATGTAATTTCTCCCATTGATTTTGAATGCAAATTGCTCATCTATTGTCACCACGCTATAATCTATAATCTATAATCTAATCTATAATCGCCACGGTAGCGAAGTCGGTCGAGAGTGCGGTGGCAAGCATTTCTCGGCTAGGCTTCCTACTCTGGTCCGGGTTCGATCCCCGGTGTCGGCACTGGCAATGTCTATGGATAATGGGTGTTTGTCCGCGTTTTTTCAAGTGTAGCCCCCTTCCGCACAAGCCTTTGGCTTTGGATTTGGGGGTTGTCTCATTTCTGTGGTGTGTTTTGTGTTTTTTATTGTATTTCATATTATTTTGTGAGTGCAAATTAAAACAAAAAATTAGTAAAGAATAAGAGGTTTTTTTCTGGATCTCGTTAAAAATTTTCAAAACCACCTAAAATTACTTGCCGACCCTTGATCTATATCATACCTATATATTTTTATATCACCTTACTTATCCTTATCGTTCACGGTGATCAGGAAGAGAGAAAAAGTTCGATGAAAATGTCCGCCAAAACGGCTAACGCAGAAAGTTTCTGTATCATCTGGACATTCAAAATACGCAAAGCTCAAAATCCCATCAGATACTTCTTGCGAATTATGGGTATTTGTATATACAACGTGTCCTAAAAGTATGGAAGCAGCACAATAACTTTCGAAAAATGCATTTTGAGGAAAAATGATTCAGACAAAAGATTTAGGATTTGTCCCTGGCTATTCAATGGTGACCCTAGATTTGACCTTGACCTTGACCTTCAAGGTTATTTCTAGGTCAAGTGAATTTTTTTCAAATGGGATGCCCTACTTTTGACCCCGGAAATGAAAAGAGCGGAAAATTTTACGTTCAGATATGTCCTTGACCATTTTCCGAATTTGACCACTGATGGTCATTAAAGGTCAAATCAAGTTCACGCATGGTTTGTCGCGCTGTCTTGAAAACAACGGGTTGCAAAAAAAATTACCATAACTAACGTTGTAGGATTTTTCCCTGGCTATCTGACGGTGACCCTTGATTTGACCGTGACCTTAACCCTCAAAAACCGCACTATATCAATTTTGGCAAAAATCGGTTGATTTTTGAAATCGCGTCCGCCATCTCGGATCCGCAATCTTGGACTAAAATTCCTCAAAAACAGATTTCAGATTCGTAGTCAGCGACCCCAAAAACCCCCCGATACCAAATTTGGCATAAATCGGTTGTTTGGAATCGCGTCCGCCATCTTGGATCCGCCATCTTGGAAAATGGTCGAGGACATATCTGAACGTAAAATTTTCCGTTCTTTTCATTTCCGGGGTCAAAAGTAGGGCATCCCATTTGAAAAAAATAAGTTGACCTTGAAATAACCTTGAAGGTCAAGGACAAGCTCAAATATAGGGTCACCATTGAATAGCCAGAGGGAAATCCTAAACCTTTTGTCTGAATCATTTTCCCTCAAAATGCATTTTTGGAAAGTTATTGTGCTGTTCCCATACTTTTGGGACACGTTGTATATACAAATGCCCATAATCAAGAAGGATCTGATAGGATTTTGTGCTTTGCGAATTTTGAATGTCCAGATGATACAGAAACTTTCTGCGTTAGCCGTTTTGGCGGACATTTTCATCGAACTTTTTCTCCCTTCCTGATCACTGTGAGTTGTAGTCATATTTACATAATATTCTTGCCTTTAGAATATATGTAATTACAATGAATGCCATTACATGTTTTTGTTGTAATATCAAGGCTTCATAAGTTAGTAAATAGCTTGTTACTATTATAATAGATTACTTGCATAGTTAAAGTACATAATTATACAGGAATAATTTCTCAAATAATAGATTAATTTCTTTAAATGGTAAATATTTCTCATCTTTATACTGTAAGTTACTTATTTCACAATTATCAGTGGTAAAGGAACAAAGTTGACATATTTCATATTCACCTAACATGATCATTATGCCTACTATATACTTATGTGTGAAAATAATAAAAATAATTATATCTCCTCTTAACTTTATCTAACATTTATTATCTTTACGCCACTACGATACACCTTTTATCTTTATCTTAATTTCTGGTTTGTTTATTCGAAGCAAGAATTTTATTAAGTTGTGTAAAAATTTGTCAAAAATGTTTTCATGTACTAATTATAAAAATTTATGTTTTAGGCATTCGATTTCCAAATTTAAACATTCCTGTTTTGTCTAAATTTTCAGATCGAAAAGGTTAAATCCAGAACCGTGTCTCCAAAATTTTACATCAAAATCGAAAAATGTACTTTGTGAGTTACCTTCATTGCTTTATATTTGCAGTCTAATATCTATAAAAATTTTACAAATTTAAATGTGTGTTTTAGAACCAATCATCGTCTCCAGGACCCCAGGGGCCACCAACATCTGTCTCCGGTCCACCAGGTCAGCCGCCACAAGGCCAAGAAAACCTTAGTGCCCTCCAAAGAGCTATCGATTCTATGGAGGAGAAGGGAATGCAGGAAGATCCTCGTTATTCCCAGTTGCTGGCTCTTAGAGCGAGAAGCAATGGATCCAATTCTATTTTCAGTCAGTCTCAAATGGCACAACTAAGGTTATTATTCCTTTTGGGAAATTTTCCCATACTTTTCTTTCAAATTGCAATAGTAGGAAAGCAATTTATTTTTGTGGTGGAATAACAATATTTTTTTTAGGAATCAAATAATGGCTTACCGTTATTTGGCGAGGAATCAACCAGTACCGCCTCAGATATCAATGGCGCTGCAAGGCAAAAGACCCGATGGTTCTCCACAGTGTCCGACACCACCCCCCTCACCTTATCCTCAAGGGGCAACTGGACATCAGGTAAGATGGACATTCAGCATGAAATATTAACCAAACCACGCTAATAGATAAGTTTACAAGCATGGCCAATACTATGTAGATCACTTGGCCGATATACTCTAATTAGTCGCATTAGTAACATGTTTTAAGTACCAGTGCTGCATTTCAAAATGCTAAAATAGTTTTTTGGTAGATGTACATTAGTTTTCATTTTCTTGCAAAAGATTTACCATTTAGAAAAATTTGGAATCCTCTATATGATTACAAAATGTGTTCAAAGCGGTATCCGTGGGCCTCAATATACTCTTTGATTTTTCGGTTTTAAAAAAAAAAACAAAAAAAAAAATAGATAATATCCTTAGATGTGGCATAAGAAAACATGTCTTCATGTTTTACATGTTTTGTTGCACTCAATATATTATTGAAAATATGTTATAAATTATGAGTAGATAGTTGACAATTATTTAAGATTTGTACTATTTTTGTCAAAATGTGGTATTTTTTTATTTTATGTTTATTTAAACTTTATAAGTACATCAATTTGAGCTAATTTGTTCAGAAAATATTTTATAAATAAATTTAACTCTTTTTTCCGTAAATAAATCTGTGGCTTTTGGTTCTAAATGGGCCAATGTCAATTTTTGCTTAAATTGAGCTTTTGATATGATCGAATTACATTTTTCGAGGTGTATTTAGGATAAAAAGGCCAATGTCAGATTCCCCTTAATTATGTTTGTATAGAAAGTTGAGATGGCCAATGTACTTTGCTCAAATACGTATACACAAAACTTTAAAACGGCCAATATTACATGTGCTATATCCATAAAAAATAAAATGTGTTTCTAAAACGGCGAACGCCTTATCTGACTAGTGGCATTTCATTTTATAAACAAAAATTGTGGACCCTCGACCTAACAATTTATGAAAGTCGAGGAAACGATAACTCTGAAATTTGCTACCTATGGAACTGGGCTAACCTTATTCATATGATACCCCGAAAGCCTCCTATTTTGGTTCAAGAGATAAGTTTGAATTATTTTTGAACTTCAAGTTACTTTTTCAAAAACACTTTGAGCATAGTAAACTGAAACCAGTATTATTTTGAAACAAAATGACACATTCAGTATAGGAATAATAATAGAAATGAAATAGAATGAATCCTGATTCATGTTTTACAAAAATACCTTTAAAGGTGATGTAGCATTTTTTAGTCAGTAAATCAAGACTTATAGAAGTAAAGATGAAAAATCATCGAGAAATCATGAAAATTACTGGGCGTGATTTTATTGTTGGAAAGTCTTGGGAATGATAGTACAAGAGGCGTCTCATCTTGTGGGTCATGAAAAAAGTATAGCGTCATTGTTTTTTATCAACAAATAGGTCAAAAATTCGTAATTTTTCGTTCTATGCGTTATCGTAAAAAGAACTATTAATCTTAGCAAAAAATGTTCAATAGACGATAGATATATTGATCTAGAGAAAATCATCTTTAAAATGAGACTTTATAAGTTAAAATTGCTTTATAAATAAAAAATTTATTGCAAAATTAAACTGAAAAAGTGATTTTTCTTTAATTGTTAATAACTTTTTAAATAATTAATAAAATCTTACCAAACTTTCCCAAAATGTGAGTTTTTATATCCTTAAGAGATGTGCAAAAGATGGTCTCGATCGGTCAAATAGTTTTTGCAAAATTCCATTTATTTGTCCCATTTTTGCAAAATTTTCAAATGATTATTCCGGGGGCAGGGTTATGACTAAAACATTCTTTTTGAGCTCATTTTCTTCGAAGGGACATCAAGTATCCTCTAGCTAAAAGAAATTATTTTTTTTTTCAAATGTAGTACAAAAATTGCTAACTCCAGACCTATTGGTCATAGAAACTTTTTTTTTCAATATGTAGGTTTTTTTACGAGCTTTCGAATGGTGTATATAACTTCTTTCAAAAGTTAATAATCGCAGAGTTATTTTATTTGTTTATTAAGGAAAAAAGTGCCTTTTATTTGTTAACAATTATATACAACTAAACGAAAAATGACGAAATTTTGACCTATTTGTTGATAAAAAACAATGACGCTATACTTTTTTCATGACCCACAAGATGAGATGCCTCTTGTATTATCATTCACAAGACTTTGCAACAATAAAATCACGCCCAGTAATTAATAAATTTCAAAATGTTTCCTTTCCTGGTCTATTAACAAGGAATCCAAACCAGACATATCTAAACTTATGCTCTCATCGGATAAGCTTCTGGTGGATATCCCTCAAAACAATCTCCAACATCTAGAAGAACTTCAGGTTTATATTGACGAAGATAGTAGGCCTTACTGTAGACAATTTTTAAGTACTCTTACAGTCTCACCAACAACTATACTGACATAACAAGTGTTGACAAAAATGAGATATCACATAAAGATATGGATAAAAATTGATGTTTTGTGTTTAGTAATGCTAAGTATCATGTAAAAGTTTTTTATCGATAGTTGTTTTAGTATATTGTTGTTCGTCCCATTGCCTATTGAAAGAATATTTTTTCTTAATATAACTTTTTTCCTAATCACTCTTTAACGCTTAAATGCTTTGAATATATAAAGTTTATTTTTTAATGAATTTCTAAAATCAAATTGTTTCCTATATTTTTGTGTTTGAGTCAAAAACTTTAATTGCCATTTTCTTAAATGAAATATTTTAGAAACACATTTTATTTTTTATGGATATACCACATGTAACATGGGCCGTTTTAAAGTTTTGTGTACACGTATTCGAGCAAAGTACAACCTTCTATACAAACATAATTAAGGGGAATCTGACATTGGCCGTTTTATCAGAAATACACCTTGAAAAATGTAATTCAATCATATCAACACTCAATTTAAGCAAAAAATTACATTGGCCCTTTTAGAACCAAGCCACTGAACTATATCTATCAAAAAATTATTTATTAAACTTTATCTAGATGGCATATATGAATTCATAAATAATAATTACAACATTTTCTATAGTTTCTTGGCTCTATCCATCTCTTTTTAGTTGCATAAATTAATATTTTGTTCATCGTAGGTCCCAGTTTCAATTCTAAACATCTAAAAAAAAATGAATTATATTTCCTTTTTTATTCAGGTTCTTAAGTGTACAATATACAGCGTGAATTATAATCAACAATGCCTTGATCCTTAAACACTTTCAATGTTTCCTTGCTTTTAAACTGAAACACTTAGTTTTTAACTTAAAGATCTACAAATGGATCTGGAAGGCATTTCTATATACAGGGTGAGTCATTAATAATGGTACACAGCTGATTGTTAACGTCAAAATATAGCGATTGAGCCAAACATGCCTTAATCAATTGTTGCTCCTTTTCATTCTACAGGGTGTTGAAGTTGAAAAAATATTTTCGATTTTTTGCTATATTTTAAGTATGTATGGACCGATTGTTTTGAAAATTTGTAATTTTACATTTCTTGAAGTGGCAAATACGAATATACAAACAGTATTGGGGTCACGTCTAGGAGGCGCTAGTTATACTGTCTTATTAATGTAAAAAATATGTCTTATTTTTTGTATTTTATAATTTTGAATTTTTTGACTAGAAATTATTGAACTATGTTCAATTCTAAATAAAAATGGTATACTTGTTACAAATCGATAAACTCAAACCGTTTTCAGGATACCGACGTTTTAAATTTTTGAAATTTGGCGGGAATTAAATTACAAAATTATTTTTTCCAAAGTAGTAGGCATTGACATAACAAATTGACAGCACATTACATCCGAGAAGTAAGAGAATATCTTAATAAAAATTTCCTGCACCGTTGGATTGGACGCAGTAGCGAAGTACCTTGGCCTGATTTATATCCGCTGGATTTTTACTTTTGGGGCTATCTTAAATCTTTAGTTTACAAAGACATTATTAATAGTCGAGAACAACTGTAGACAAATATTCAAGAATCAGTTCATATTAACAAACAACATAGAACTTTATTTAATGTCAAGACAAAATTTAAATAAAAGGCTAAGAAAGTGCATTGAAGTCGCTGGTGGTTACTTTGAGAATCTTTGATGATTAATAATTTATTTTTTTTTAATAAAAATTTCAGTTGCTGTAATGTTTGTCTTAATTCTTAATTCAGGCTTGGCGTCTTAAGATTTCTAGTTAAAAAATTGAATATTATAAAATACATAATATTAAACATATTGATAGGGCAGTATAATTAGTGTTTTCATATTTGTATTTGCCACCTCAAAAAAAGTAAAACTAGAAATTTTCAAAACAATCGGTCCATACACACTTAAAATATAGCAAAAAATCGAAAATATTTTTTCAATTTTAACACTGTAGAACGAAAAGGAGCAACAATTGATTAAGACACGTTTGGTTCAATCGCTATATATGCTGTGTACCATTATTAATGACTCACCCTGTATAAAAAAAACTCATGTCATCGTACAACTCAAAAAACCTTTAGAGTCATGTTCTATTTTCTAAGGAGCCCCATTGTATATCGCCAATATAAATTCTGATCATCAAAATCATACGTGAAATTTTCTGTAATTTTCGACTTCTAAATACAATCAATTTTTATTGTTGATTGCTTATATAAAAAAAAGAGTTTTTTAGTTTTATTAGTGCTATGAAATTTTGAATTACCTTCGTAACTTGTTTACACAACATCGGCATCGTGTTCTCTTCTGACAGTGAAAAAATAATAATTTAAAATAACTTTTGTACTGTTTCCTGCACTTCCTGTCAATCATCGGTAAACCTTTTTAAAACTATGTATTATTATAGGCATGAGTGGTTTTTTCTTGATGACAGATTTAATTTTTCTTGTGTCATTTTTGAAAATGTTTCACATTCAGATTTTCTTTGACACCAAAAAGTGAAAACTTGTTTATATTGAGAAACATGCACAGTTACTTAAGTAATGCTACACTATAGTGGTTAAAAATTTAGAACACCTTATATTTTGCATGCTTACACTGCCTAGGTATGCTGTTATGCTATGCTATGCTTTTACATCTACATCGTAAATAAAATAGTTATTTTTCCGTAGTATATTAGTGATTAGGTAACAATAATACCATGAATATTTATTTCAATATGGCATTGAAATTATCAAATTATTGTCTATTTTAATATACTTAACTAGCTCTAGTAATAATTATATGTTAAATAAGTAGTTTGTGTTCGATACTTTTGCATGTACTACAACTTTTGCGTAAGATGTAGATTATAATTTTTTTCTACATTAGATTTATAATATTTGTTTAATTAATATAATTCAAATTTACAATACATGTTTTGGTACTACTTGTAAGAAGATAATCTCTTCCATTAATTAATAATAAAAGCAATAACATTTAACTGAATTACTCTCATTAGTAATTCAAATTTGTAAATAGCATATACCTAATTTTTTAAATTATTATACCATCAATATTTCAAATTAATTTATACATATTTACGTACTTCAAATTCAATTTTACTTTGAACTAGTTTTTAAGTATATATATTTGTATTTGTATTTGTAAATGATTTAAAATTCTATTGTGGGATATTTCGGAAATAGTCAGAAATATATTATATTATGTTTATAGATAATTAAAATTACAAATCTGATGTAGAACCACGATTAACAGAAATTTGCATGCAACCTTGATAAAGAAATGAATGTCATTCGCATATAACGTACAGGGTGGTCCACCACCTAATGAACCTCCTGAGACACCGACTTCTGACAGTGGGCCGCCGGTTCAGCTACAACCAATGCGACCCCCTGGACCCCCAAGCTCTCAGCCTGGGGTCCCACAGGGCCCACCCCCTGTGCACCTACCACCGCAGGTAAATAATTGATTGATATAGTTCATATGGAGATGAAAAAGCATAGTATTTTAGCGTTACGAATTACATCTCGTATTTTTCATTAATACTGCTGCAGGGTATCTTGTTTTTGATATAAAAATCACAAAGGTAGTTTTTTAAATCAAGTATTAGCCATATATTAAATATATATATAGACCGAATTTAGCATTAATAATTTTTTAAATATGCTTAATCTAGAATACCTTTTTCTCGTAAAACGAAAATATTTTATTTTGAATATGAAAAAACAGATTACTGGCAACCCAATTACATGTTTCTAGAAAAAAAATGTATATACACGCATATACTATACAAATATGCTTATATCTTTTAGCACATATTTAACTTGGCTACTATATTCAAAATAAAATTGCAGTAAGGAAGCAGCCTTTTTACACTCTAAAAAGCGATTTTTGAGATTTGAAACTAACTTGAGTTGTCAGTGATTGCAAAACAATGGAATTCGTCTAGCTGTTATAAGGCGTATGTGTCTAAATTAAATGAAAATAATCAATCAGTTTCAAATTTTAAAAAATCACAAATTAGATAATGGAACAAGTAGAAATATACTTTTTTGTGCAAAATTTTTCACTGTAAACCACTACATCTAACCTTAAAAAAGATATGCACATTCCAAAATGTCACTGGAAAAAGTCAGCTAGTGACCCCTAGGGTAGTCGAAAACTAATAAAAATGACAAATTTACCTCCCACAAATACTTGTAATTTTAATGCAACACATTTTTTACATATATATATTGGTCAAATTTTAATTTAAGAAAATCATATAGGGCTGCTGAAGTACCAGCCTAAAGAATAAAAATATTATTTAGAACTTAAAATATAAAACAGATAGTTATTACCTTTTATTATTAAAGTCGCCAGTACAGAATTACAAACAACATGGCGCACCTCCTCATCAAGGTAGTGTCGCGCCTAGACCCAGCGGGCAGATGCACCAGGGACATCAACCGCAGCCACACCACCACCAATCCACTAAACAAAATCGTATAACAACACTGCCCAAACCTTGTGGAATAGATCCTTTGGTTATACTGCAAGAAAGAGAAAACAGGTACAGTTTTAAGTTCTTTATGAGAATCCCACTCCTGATTTGTTTAATACTTATTCATCAAATTTTTAAAGAGTGGCAGCAAGAATCGCAGCTAGGATGGAACAACTGTCTAACCTCCCGACTAACATGTCCGACGAACTTAGAATCCAAGCACAGATAGAACTAAAAGCTTTACGTTGCCTGAATTTCCAAAGACAGCTGAGAAGTGAAATAATCGCATGCACCAGACGTGATACCACTCTTGAAACAGCTGTGAATGTGAAGCAATACAAACGCACCAAACGTCAAGGATTGCGTGAGGCTAGAGCAACCGAGAAGTTGGAAAAACAACAGAAATTAGAAGCTGAACGTAAACGCAGACAGAAACATCAAGAGTTTCTTACTTCAGTTTTACAACACGGGAAAGATTTTAAGGAGTTTCTTCGTAATAATCAAGCTAAACTGTTAAGACTGAACAAGGCTGTAATGAATTATCACGCTAACGCAGAGAGAGAGCAGAAGAAAGAGCAAGAGAGGATAGAAAAAGAGAGAATGAGAAGGTACTTTTTTAATGTTGAGTATTCTAACATGTATATTTTATTTTTTAAATTAGATTAATGGCTGAAGATGAAGAAGGTTATCGCAAACTTATCGATCAGAAGAAAGATAAACGTCTTGCTTTCTTGTTGTCTCAAACTGATGAATATATTAGCAATTTGACGGAGATGGTAAAACAACATAAACTGGAACAGAAGAGGAAGCAACAAGAAGAAGAGAAGCGCAAAAAGGTTAGTTAATTATTTCATAGCTACATGTGCTTACCATAAATATAATTTTGCAGAAAAAGAGAAAACGTTTAGGTCTGGAAGGCTTATTGAACCCTGATGACGATGGTTCACAAGGATCTGACCGGCCCATAACTGTTGTAGAAACAGCTACAGGCAACAAACTTTCTGGTGAAGAAGCTCCCATGCTAAGTCAACTACAAGAATGGCTGTCTCAGAATCCTGGTTGGGAAATATCTGATACAGATGATGAGGATTCTGATGATGATGATGATAGTAAGACACCCCAATTTTCATATATCTGTTTATATTTATAAACATTTTGTTTTTAGATCAGAAAGAACCAAAAACTGAAGAGGACAAAGCTAAGGAGGTCATCAAAAAAGCTAGGGTTGAAGACGATGAATACCACAAAAATTCAATTGAAGAACAAACTTATTACAGCATCGCTCACACTGTTCACGAGCTAGTTACTGAACAGTCTTCTATCATGATAAATGGACAACTCAAAGAGTATCAGATCAAGGGTTTGGAATGGTTGGTGTCACTGTACAACAATAATTTGAACGGAATACTTGCCGATGAAATGGGTCTCGGAAAAACCATACAAACCATAGCGCTTATTACCTACTTGATGGAGAAAAAGAAAGTCAACGGGCCCTTCTTAATTATTGTACCTTTATCGTAAGACAATTTAATGTTTGTCTTGTCTTGGTTATAATCGTTTATCTTCCAGGACCCTGTCAAACTGGATCTTAGAATTTGAGAAGTGGTCACCGTCAGTTGTCGTTGTTTCTTACAAAGGTTCTCCTGCTGGCAGGAGACAAATCCAGAGTCAGATGAGATCAACAAAGTTCAATGTTCTCTTAACCACTTACGAGTATGTTATTAAAGACAAAGGGGTACTTGCAAAGGTAAGAACCTCATCTTTATCTTGTTCAGTTCCACCTTGTAACTTTTCTAAAACCACCAGCTGCAATGGAAGTACATGATAATTGACGAAGGACATCGGATGAAAAATCATCACTGCAAGCTGACCCAAGTTTTAAATACCCACTATCTTGCTCCGCATCGTTTATTGCTCACCGGCACTCCATTACAGAATAAACTACCAGAATTATGGGCACTGCTGAATTTTCTGCTACCATCTATTTTTAAAAGCTGCTCCACTTTCGAGCAGTGGTTTAACGCACCCTTTGCCACTACAGGAGAGAAAGTAAAAATGGATGCACCTTTTATTTACATTATAATTATAACTTTGTCTTATTTTAGGTTGAACTTAATGAAGAAGAGACGATCCTAATAATTCGTCGTTTACACAAAGTGTTGCGACCTTTCTTGCTTAGGCGTTTAAAGAAAGAAGTTGAATCACAGCTTCCTGATAAAGTCGAATACATTATTAAGTGTGACATGTCCGGTCTACAAAAAGTTTTATACAAGTATGTAGACTTTTTGAATTATGCCCGTTTTTATTACTAATAATATTTTCAGACATATGCAGAGCAAAGGCGTTTTACTTACAGACGGGTCAGAAAAGGGTAATAAAGGCAAAGGTGGAGCAAAAGCTCTGATGAATACAATTGTGCAGCTTCGCAAACTGTGTAACCACCCTTTCATGTTTCCGAATATCGAAGAAAAATATTGCGATCACGTTGGAATTGCAGGAGGTGTTATATCCGGGTAAAACAAACTTAATGTCTCTGTGTATAACTGTAATTAAATTTTTGCTTTCAGACCTGACATATACCGTGCGTCGGGTAAATTCGAACTTCTCGACAGGATCTTACCGAAACTCAAGGCAACAAATCACCGCGTCCTCCTGTTTTGCCAGATGACTCAGCTCATGACTATTATGGAAGATTATTTGAGTTGGCGCGGCTTTGGCTACCTCAGGCTTGATGGTACAACAAAGGCGGAGGATCGCGGTGATTTACTAAAAAAATTTAATGATAAACGCAGCGAATACTTTTTGTTTTTACTCTCGACCAGAGCTGGTGGTCTGGGTTTGAATTTGCAGAGTGCAGATACTGTTGTTATATTTGACTCCGATTGGAATCCTCACCAAGTAAGTAATCTGTCAAAAAATGTTCACAATCTGAAAATTGTTATACCAGGTCTTTCCCAAAAGTATGCGATCTTTCTTCATATATTCACATCTGACAGTTTTAACGCCCTCTGCCAGGTATGAGTGTTAACTGTAAAGCTTCATGAACTTCCTAGATGCTGCAGTTTTCATCGGGACGCTTTAGTTCAGGTACAGTGTGCGTTTGTTTACAAAGAGTATTTTACGTTCGTCGCATTTTGCTATTGTAAAAATGACGGAAAGATCGGAGCAACTTTGCATTAAATTTTGCTTTAAACTCGAAATGAGTTCTGCGGAGACCATCGAAATAATAAAGACGGCATTTGAGGACGAGTGTATGAGCAAAACACAAATAAGAGAGTGGTATAAGCTGTTCAAATATGGCCGCACATCTGTTGATAGTAACTCATGCTCTGGGCGGCCTACGACGACAGAAACACTGGATAATATCGAACAAGTGCGACTTGCGGTCAATGAAGATCGTCATTTGGTTGTGAGAGAACTAGAATACTTGAAATACGGAAAACTAGTGTTTGATATTCATTCCAAAATTGCTAACGATGAAGCAGAAAAATCTTCGCCTTGAAATCGTTCAGGACAATTTGGAAATGGTCAGTAATGATGAAAATCTAATTAAAAAGTTATAACTGATGATGAATCATGGGTTTATGGTTATGAGCCTGAAACAAAACGGACAAAGCCACAACCGAAAAGAGCGTGTCAAAGTCGGAACAATGTCAGGTCATTGCTGATTATTTTTTTTATGATGAGGGTGTTGTGCACCATAAATATGCTCCTAGACGTCAGACGATCAACAAAGAATATTATCTTGAAGTTATGAAAAAATTGTGTGACGCAAAAACGGCATCAACTTGGTTGGACTGGCTTCTTCATGATAACGCGTCAGCGCATCCATTAAACATCGTGCAGAAATATTTAACAATGCACAAATTCGTACAGCTCTCTCAGCCTTCGTACAGTCCTGACGTAGTTCCCTGCGACTTTTGGCTGTTCCGAAGATTAAAAATACCACTGAAAGGACACCGATTTGACGCCAAAAAAAAACAGTCGAAACTAATATGACGAACGCTCTAAAGGCGATACCAAAAAATTAGTTCCATGACTTCCAAAAGTGGAAAGGCCGTTAGGAGAGTATTCTTCAATCAAATGGGGACTGCTTTGAATTATGCCACCAGCCCAATGATGTAGAATAGCATCAGCGCACTATGGTACGAAATGCCTAAAAGCTGGCCAAAAATAAAAATTTATTCCAAATTGTACAAAAGTGGGTATACTGGGGTTTTTGGCCCAACTGATTATGAATTTGATATCAAAATTGAAAAATTCGAAATGGCGGATCCAGTATGGCAGATTAAATTTTAAAAAAGTCGAATAAACTGACAAAAATAGGTGTTTCGGGATTTTTGACAACACTGATTACGAATTTCATATTGAAATTGAGAAATTTAAAATGGTGGATCCAATATGGCGGACGAAATTTGACAAAAGTGGAATAAACTAACGTACGTGGATATTGGGGTTTTTGACCGTACTAATTATACGAAAATTCAATTTATCGTAAAACAGACAAATTACAATTCTTAAAAATTCGTCATTTGATCATGTTAATTTGTTGAATATTGTTGAAAGTCACGGGCTCAGAGTTAAAGCTTTCTTTCTTTAATATTATTTGTTACTCAAATTTTAATACGCATAAATGAATACTTGAGTGTTTTGAGTTTTAGAACTTAGCAGATCTTATCAGGTCAAACAGACCTCGGATTCGGATTAAGCGACCCTAAAAACGTATAGATACATTGGTTTACTTTGTTGGCAATTGATTCTCTACATTTGACCTTGAATTGACCTCAATGCAGACTTGATCGGATCAAACGGACACCGGATTCAGATTTACCGTCCGGAAAAATGCATAGATATGGAGGTTCTCTGTTGGCAAATGATTCTCTACATTTGACCTTCAACTGACCTTAACGCAGACCTGATCGGATCAAACAGACACCGGTTTCGGATTCAGCAACCCCAAAAACATTTAGATACCAGGGTCTTGTCTCAAATATTCCACTTTTTTTTCTGAGGATGTGAATTGACAAAATCGCATCGACTATCCTTTTCTATGTCATACTGAGTATTCTATCTCTTTATTTACTTATTGCCCTTTACTATTCTACTTATGTGTATTTTTCCAAACATTATTTTTACTTATTTTATAATAAATGCAATATTCTTTTCACTCTTTGTACGACATTAACGAAATAATTGAATTACGATTTATTGCAACTTTTGCTTTATTCATATCATAAAATTGAAAGCGTGGATGTTTTTTTCATCATATTATAGTAAATTGATCATAGATTACGGGTCAATAAGTAATTTAGCCTTATGGTGCCTTATATATAACTTTTAAGTTTACTTTTGAATGATTTTCGTAATAAATTTAAGCATTATTTGTCATAAACAATAATGAAAATAAGTGGACAATGAACAATTTATTATGAATAATTTATAATGTTGAAATACTTTACATACCTGGAACAACATCCATTTTATTACGACTTTATCAGAACAATAAATAAATTTTTACAGCATTTTGAACATATACTGTACTTTTGTGTTCGCTAAGATGGCCACGAGACACACACAATAAGGTTACTTCGACTTCAAATCCTAGCTCCAGTATAAACGGCAAACTGGTTCCACCGGTCAATTTGAATAGCCCAACTATCCTTATTGCCAACCTGATCCTTAAAAAATTCCAAATAGAAACTTTTTTTCATTTTTGGCCAGCTTTTAGGCATTTCGTACCATAGTGCAGCAGAGAAATATGAAGGAAGGTCGGATACTTTGGGAAAGACCTCGTATTATTGTAGTTGGCTTCAAACAATCTGTATATTTTCTATAGTATATGACTAACCTGATTTTTTTTTCTTAATCGAATAGCCGGATTATAATTTGTTTTTAAGCTGCACTTAAAGTTTTGTCTACTACTGATATGGCCAAATGAAATCATAGGTATTGAGTAGCAGTGACCATTCATAGATGTAGCATTCTATATTCTATATTTCGTGTATATTCGCTTCGTATCTGCCACACTTACGGCATACTGTGAGGACTAACAACTCCGAAACCAGTATGTGTCTGGAGGTTCGACTGATGGATGATCATAAGCTGTTTACTAGAGACTACAGGTGTAATTGAATACTGGTCGGAGCATATAGTCCGCAAAATAGTTATTTCCGGAAATTCTGTCAGTTAAAAATATAGACTTGTTTTGATTGCTCACGAAATTGAAAAATTTTAGGATTTGCAAGCCCAAGACAGAGCACATCGAATCGGTCAGCAAAATGAGGTGCGAGTGCTTCGTTTGATGACAGTGAACTCTGTAGAGGAACGAATCCTGGCAGCTGCCAGGTATAAGCTCAACATGGACGAAAAAGTGATTCAAGCTGGTATGTTTGACCAAAAATCCACTGGTACCGAGAGGCAGCAGTTCTTGCAACACATTTTGCATCAAGATGGAGATGATGAAGAAGTAAAATTAGAAATATTTATTGGAACCAGATTTTTTATTTGCTTTTTTTTAGGAGGAAAACGAGGTACCTGACGATGAGACTGTAAATCAAATGGTAGCTAGAACCGAAGCAGAATTCGAACTCTTCCAAAAAATGGACTTGGAGAGAAGACGGGAGGAAGCTAAATTAGGTCCTGCCAGGAAACCGAGACTTCTAGAGATAAATGAACTTCCTGACTGGTTAGTGAAAGAAGACGATGAGGTTGATCCGTGGAACTACGATGACAACGACAGTATATTAGGCAGGGGCACTAGGCAGAGAAAAGAAGTCGATTACACTGATAGCTTGACTGAGAAAGAATGGTTAAAGGTATGTAATTCTATAATGATTCGTGTCCATTTTAAAACACTTTATATTCTTCCCTTCCAGGCAATTGATGAAACTGGAGACTACGAAGAAGAAGATGAAGAAGAGGAGAAAGCAAAGAAGAAAAAAGGTCGTAAACGAAGAAAACGCGGTGACGACTCAGATAGTGAAGTAGGCACCAGTAACAAAAGAAGAATGAGGGGACAGTCGGCCAATGACTCTAAACTGAAGAAACAAATGAGAAAGCTTATGGCTATAGTCACCAAATATACTGACAGGTAATCTTTCGATTTCTGTAAACAAAATATTTCACTAATAAATTGTAGCGATGGGAGGCTTCTCAGTGAACCTTTCATGAAACTGCCTCCAAGAAAGGACTATCCAGACTATTACGAGATCATAAAGAAGCCCATAGACATTAACAAAATTCTTAATAGAATCGAAGACGGAAAGGTGAGTGCGTACACGAATTTTCTAACACATTTTTATAATTCCTTTTGGCCTCTTTTAGTACACCGATTTTGTGGATCTAGAGAGGGACTTTATGCTTCTCTGTCAAAATGCTCAAATTTACAATGAAGAGGCCTCATTAATCCACGAGGACAGTATAGTTCTCCAGTCCGTTTTCTCGAATGCCAAGCAACGCATAGAAACTGATGGGGGCGAATCGGAGGGGGAGGACGAAAAGGATGAAGGAAATAAGTCTGATACAGATTCTACAGTCAAAATGAGAATCAAGCTCAAAAATAAAAAGCAACCTAGTAGACGTAAGCGTAGCCAGAAGAAGTATATTTCTGACGACGATGACGAGGATGACGATTAAAGTAATAAGTAGTTTTAAATGTTAAAATGTTAGAATTTTTCAATTTTTAATCCGTGGATCATATATTTTTTGAGGTATTTTAATTCGGTATATATTTGAAATGACTCACTGTTTTATTAATTTTTTTTTAATAATTATATAAATGCAGTCATCTCACTTCTCTGTAAAGGTATTATAATTGCCAAAATCAAATATAAAGTGTTTTGAAAGATGTGGCATATATGCAAGGGCTTGTAAAAAATAATCGGATAATATCCAACATTCAGCAAAACAATTTCTTAACGTAACATTAATTTAGGATGATTTTTCACCTCCACCTTTTAAAAAACCGAAATGCACATTTAAAATTGTTATTTGCTATAAGCGCAATATGTTACATCATACTGATGAGAACCAATTAGTTCGAAACAAATGTATCTAACCATAATTTTTGGCAAGTAACTGTGCAATGCATTTTACATAAAAGCAGGTAAATTCTTATATATTAAAATTTGATAGCTCCGTCCGCGTCGCACACTCGGCCCTAAAAAGTGCCGATTTGCTGCCACAAAGGTTTTTACTGTGGGCCGCGCAGCGTCCTTCCTGCGTCCTAACGTCATATTTAGAAGGTGATTCCTCGGCACCTTCCCGGTGAAATTTACGTTTTCCCGGGGCTCCTCGATGGGCGCAGCCTATTTTTCGTGCGGAATGCAGGCAGAATGAGTCCCACACGCCTTACCGATGAAATCTGACGATTGCCTCGAATTGCGCGGGGGTGCGGCTTTTTTATATTTTATTTCACGTATTTTCTACGTTATTTATTTGAAATAGTGCCGACTGGGTGCCTATTTCACGCTTTTTCTTTAGAACTTTCCGCGAAATCAAATGCAAGATTCGAAATGCACCTGTAAATACGTTAAAATGCACAGAATTATTATAAATTATGTATCTTCCAAGTACCTAATCGATTTCTACGAGCTGTCATACGGTTCCTTAGATGTTGGTTTCCTATTTATACAAGTTGCTGTGGAAAGTGTTCGTCAATTGTTGCACATTCAAAGTGGAAAGACCAAAAAAATCTGCATTCTCATAAGACTTCGTACTAAATCGTGAAAGATTATTTTATTAATATTTCGTCTCTTGTTTATCCAAACCATTCATAATTTTTTTTTGAGGATTTTCTTCATATTAATAAGCTTATATTAATTTTTTTATGAATATTTGTTTGTCACTTCCAAATCAGATAAACCTTTTTAAACTATTAGTAGCTGTTTTGTGATCTATTGCTATTCTCAGTGTATTTTATCACATTTAAATTTACTGCCATTATAGTGCAGCGACATCTATTAGATAGCAGAATTAAAGGTTAATCTAATTGTGTCTTCCAATACAGTCTCCTTAATTATTTTATGGTCTGTGGTTTCCGAGTGTGTCGTTTGTTGCACTAGCTACAGATGGCGTACTCTGCCGCTGCTGCCGACGAAAACAAATTTAGTTATTCATATGCCATATCTGGTATTACAATATTTAAGTCCTCACAGATATAAACAAATCTTGAAATGTTCAAATTAAGTTTTTCTGCTTTAATATTGTCTGTGATAGACCCGAACTGCTGCCCAATGACAAAAATAATGATCGAAAATGGCCTGACCGAAAAACAAAATTTATTTTGACGTTACCACTGGTGTCTAAACATCGGAGACACGTTAGTCATCTCTTTCAATGAGAAAATCACAGATTTTTTAAAAAGGAAATATATCTTGCAAAACACCAAAAAAATCGGCTTCAAAATATACCGTCCAGATAATGGAAGAATTAGGTAACGCAAAATCTCCAATTATCGAGTTGACTGAGAGAAAAAGTAATATGTAGCATGAAAGGGAAACACATTTCGTTTATGTCTACATACCGCGCTGCAAGTGGCCTGAGCACGGTTGTGCAGTGCACTTTACACCAGTTTTTTAACGTAAAATTCGAACTTGGACTTTGAGGATAAAAAAAAACTTCTACATATCGAGCTGTTTCCTTGTGATAAAATGAAATTTTTAAGGAAATATTAGAAAAAGAAACTGTCGACGTTTTGGACAGTGGACCTTTGAGGCATTGATTGTTTATAGTATTTTTCTTGAAAATTGTGCATTTTCAGGAATGTCAACGAGTGTACTTAGTGTAAAATTAAATTTTACATTGAAATTTGTGATCTACAATTTAGAACTTAGAAAGTTATAGCCTAAAACATTCATAATTTGGAAAGGTCATGTCTAACCTCCTCTCCAAGATAGCCCAAAAGTAACAATAAGTGCATTTAAACAATTTAATTGTAACAAACTACAATGCAATATATTTTTTTCAAATTTACATAAATTGTTTTGACTCTGTGTACATAAAAAACAAAAGACATTAGACCGATAGGCCAGGAGAAACCTTGTCTTATTTTATAATCTACTGTTCTCAAAACACCCTGTGTATCTGTTTATCCTGTATATGACATATCAAAAAATCAGAGTTTGCATTTGAAACGCATTATGGGACATTTTTCAAAATGGATATTTTTTGAGATGATCTATCAAGTAGAAAATCACTTTATGATAGAATACGGTTAATTTAAAAAGATAATTTACTGCATATTTCGAAATTTTTTAACATATTTTAATTTATGTTAAGAACAAAATGTCGCTTTTTAATACAACCCAATAACGAGAACTTTTTCATTTGCATCTAAACAAAGAAAATTAACAAATAATAATACCTATACACTCACCGATTAATAATAATTTTTATGTTTAATAAGTGCTATCTGTCAAAAATTCCACGAAACGATATTTATGCTTGGTGGATCCGATGACAAAACCGTAACTTATCTGGTTAAATTGAGATCGTGTTAGTTCTTGACAGCAGTGAAATTAAAAACAGTTCAATACAAAGTTCAAGTAAATTTTGAAAAACACCCATATTTTTTACAAAAGTCTCCTATTCTAGATAATATCGCATAAAAGATAATATATTAACATTTTCTATCATTGGTTTTATAAGCTATTGCTGTCAGATGAGTCAAAGTAAGGGCTGACGCTTGCCTACAAATTTTGACATTTGTAGCAGGCTATCAAGATCCCGAGGCACTGCTATTGACACCCTCAGATCTGACAAATTATACATTTACTTTTATAGTTTACTACATCTATTTATTACTTTTATCAGCGTGTTATCATAGTTTACGCGACAAATTGCCTATTTTTTTTTTGGAATTCTTTCTTATATCTTATTGTGATTGTGCCCTGGCTGTAAATTGCCTAATTTTTAAACTGTAATCAGTGCTAACAATTGAACAGGCCCATAGCATTTGTAAAATTTGGTAAATGCGATTCTGTATCTGAAATTTTTAAATGTTCCACTATTATCCGCATTCTTTAAATTTGGTCACAATTTATATGAAACACTATCTATAACTATTTTAACTTAAAATGCACAAATTGTGTGCATTCAAATGGTTGTTTGGGTGTGGATTGGCATTTATTTTTCCTAAGTACGAAAATACGGGACTTTTAGTGTCCCGTATAAACTAATTGCTGGACATGTGACTTAAATACGGGACGGTCCCTTGAAATACGGGACGGGTGGCAATCCTGACAGACACAAATCTAAAGAAAATCTAGATTGCATTAGTTATCTATCACTGGTGACTGCAAATTCATGATCAACCTAGCCAATATATGATGATTAATTATACTCGAAAATCTAGTTCAGGCCATCAGCGTCAAGCAGAGTTATAAAATTCACTGTTATTTTGAAATTCCAAATGGCCGACAAATTTTTATTTATGTCACATTGGCTGAAAGCCTGCTGATCCTTAGAAAATTGATCATTTTTAGGCACTACCTAATATATATTACATATTTGACCAGCTAGGTGATCTAGATTTGAGATTATGGTACTTTATCAGTCTGGAGACTATGTTTCGGTTACTACCAGTGCCCTCTAGATGAATATCTTAAATGGTTGGCTGTTTATGGAAACAATAAAATTACTAATTAATATTAAGTTGCTTAACTTTGTATTTTGCATAAACCCAGTAAATCTATTTTATATACCAGCCTTCAATTCAGTTTCCATTTTGACCAAAGGTCTTAATTTGCCTGTGATGTCCGACAAAATTTCTGCTGGGGTACAGGGATGTGATGCATTTTTCATAACTAAAATATAAATACAAATTACACAGCAACAAAACAGTATGATATTTATATATTACATTCGCTAGATTCATGTAACTCACAACGTGAACAATGATAAAGGCTCGTTTAGTTCCCTATAAGTAATTTGTTTTCCATTACATAATAGACAGTTTTTTCTACAAAGACGGTGTCATTTCTTGGTTGCTTATTTTCGTAATATTTTGAAATTTTGGTTATTTCAATACCCTCTTATAGATGAAGTGAATGTGATACAATTTATATTTAATATTTATTACTGTACCTATTTTAAAATATATGATCTGCATAAATGTATGTTACAAGGTGTTATGCAACTTTTTCATCTTTAAGCTTATTATCTACTATTGTTAATTATGGAAAGTGTAATATTCCATTAAAACGTTATTTTATTAGTAAATACTAATTTGAAAAATATATATATTTTCCTTACGGTAAAATTTTTAATAGATACCCTGATTGTAAAAGCTTTACTTTTTAATGTAGTCTTCATCGAAACTTTTAATGATTATCGCTTTAATCTACCTTTGTGTGATCTTTGTGATTCTATATTATATGTGGATATCACTCGATGTTGTTTTATTTCTTCTTTTGCTAATTATTGCTCTCTGCTAATTATGTATAATTAGTACTTATTAGTAAACAATAATCTCTTCTTAGTTTAAAAAGATTGTTCATAGTAATGGTAAAATTTCTCGAAATTTAATGAAAAATTAAAATAAGAAAAAGATAAGTAATGAGCATCTGTCTAATTGGTTAAAAATTAAAATATTGCTAATATATTTTTTTAATTATACAATATGGGTATAACGTGGATATATTCTTTTTTTATTATAGATTATCAGGGGACAAACAATTCAAAAACTGTGACCTTATATTGAAATAGTAAATTAAATTCTTTGTGCTATCTAACACCAGGGGTCAGGACTTACTTTTCTCAGCATATCTGCTGTTTGGTTTTCAGCGTCAGAAGAAAGGGCCCTAGCCGGCGGGGCCCAGCCAGGACAAAAGGAGGTCCCACAAAGCGCCTACACCGGCCACATTTGCGGTCGGGGTAGACGACGGATGGGTCCCACCTACGAAGGCTGACCAGGCCTACACGAGATGAGGCAGGATAAAGAGGGATAATCCCCCTCGATCCCAAATCATTGAGGCCAATTTCTAGCCATTTCTAGCCAATTTCTAGGGGGGGGGGGATGTCGTTGGGGTGGTCACCCAGGGTCAAAAAGTTGATGTCTAGGTCTTTTGTGTTTGTTGGTCACGTCGTCGGGCACGTAGTCAACGGCTTGCCTGAGGAGGGGATTGTCATGTCTAGCGGCTACGTCAAAACGTTTCTCCGCGTTTTGTCTTATTGTCTGTGTAGCGTTTGTGTATTGTAAAAAAATACGAGCGTCACCTCACAATCGGCCTGGAAAACACTGCCATCGTTAGCACTATCTCCGCGGTCGAAATTATAGAGAGTGATTCAGACATAATATAAATACACTATTACTATAATGCGCATAAAATATAAAATGATTTTTATAACGGTTCAATATATTATTTATCTGTGCCGCTCACTACGCACATCGATAGAATCTATAATCGTCTATAGACTGAGTTACACTGAACGTCGATCTATATTCTATCTCTGTCTTTTGCACTTGGTAGGGAATAAAGAAATTCTTTATTAGTGGGTGTAAACGGACTTGATTTAGCCGTCCTGAGAAACGTCATAGCATAAGCGTAGACGAGGGGTCTAATTCCATTGCTATAATAAATTTATAAATTAAAAAAACACAACTGGGACGTTTTAAAATGCTGTAATAATTAAAATGGATCAAAGTGCCGGTTATAGCAAACCGTAAAAAAATATTAGATATTATGTTTTATTATCTTTTTTCAATATTTTCTATATCTTGTTGCCTTTTACGCAGACACGCCAATGGATTTTCGTTCCCGGCATGGTTCATCCCCCTTACTAGTCCAAAAGCTAGCGATGAGTCACTCTCTATAATTTCTACCGTGGAGTATATTTATGTATCGAAAACTGTAATACTAACTTGAACAGAAAAGTAATATTGGTATTAGAACCTATAGAGTTTGCCGGAAAAATTAAAAATTTGATGATTTTACATGTATTCTTTCGTGCAGAAGCTGAACAAACGGATTGCAAGCGGTAACTAGCCAATCAAAATACAGCATTTTTAAAATTCTTAATCATGATTGGTTCTTTACTGATTTCAATCACTTTGCACTTTGTTCAATACGAAAGAATACGTGTATTGAAGATTAGGTCACAAAGGGGATGTGTTCTGTGGATAGGTTTGAGGTTATTTCTTCTCTATGTTGTATTCATAGAAAACTTAATACTATATTTTATATGGTTGTATTACTTATGACTAATTAACTCGTAAGTTACCGCGCTCTGAATATTACGGTATATTTAAATTTGCCGCCAAGTGCAGCGTAATAAAGCGACATCTATTGCATAGTTTTTGAACTGCATTCTGAAACCAAAGGCGGCTAACACGGTCATTGCAGTTTCTGTTTTGTGTTGCTGCTGCTATTTGTTCACAGGCCGGATGTAAGATGGCGCCAGTTGCGTCTGGAGCAAGTGATGCTTCCAATGAAAGACAAGGAAATAAACACTTATTTAGTTACTCATATGGGCATGCATGTGGATCTAGACTGAGGGCAAGATTTACCATCACATTTATATAGAACACTTTTTATTACTCTATTATAACAGTTTAAGTAACAATTATTTGTTTATTTTTAGAGCATGCTTTCACAGATCTGACGACGTTGACCGCGTTGCTCTCTGGCCACGGGTTCTGTGCGGACGGCCAGGGGACGGCCTAACTTCCCTAAAACCACGGCTGTGCAACTAGCATTGCCAGATTCGCAACAGGGAGGAGATGGAGCTTGTCCAGACACACCAAACCAACGCACAAGTCCGGTTTGATGGTTTGGCAAACTCTGCCCAACCGGGTTAACTATATTTCTCGCCGAAACGTCAAACCGCAGCAAACTATAGTTAACCGGGTTAGCGGTTTTCTCGCCAAAAAACCCTTAATTGTTTTATATGCTTTGTCTATGTTCCGTGTTCCGTGGCTTATGGCGACAGGCGAATGACGATTGTGTTTGTCGTGGTCATTGATGAAATAAAAATTTTCCGATAAATTGTTAAAAATAATACAATTACCAGTTATTTGCTGACTGGAAAACTTAAGTATGAAACATATGTTTTAAAATCACCTCTTTTATTGAAAGGAGCAGTCTAACCGTAAGTTTCAGCATGCATTTTGAGGTCATTCTCTGTTGCTCTGTATATTATATTATGCTTCACTGCATTGCTCAAGAAATATACTTTGCTTCAGTTTTTAGTATACTTGCCCAGTTTAATTTACATAAGCCTGTAGCTGTAGCTTTTAAATTTTGTAATCCATTCTTAGATAATACTATAATTGTTATAAAATGACTTAGTTGTTTATATATTATTATGAATTAAATATTTTACCTTTTCTAGACAAAATGGCGAGCCCTTCACCCCAAAACAGTCCTATGCCTCCACCCCAGGCCCCAAGTCCCATGGGGCCACCTCCCTCACAAAGTCCAGCTCCACCTTCCCCTGCTCCTCAAGCTCCATATCAAGGTCCCCCACCATCAGGTCACGGGGGAGGACCGCCACCCCAAGGGCCCTATCCTAATGCCTATCCTGGACATTCTAATGTGCCACCCGGTGGTCCAGACCCACATCCTGGGGGACCGCCTATGCAAATGCCACCTGGGGCACTTTCTCAGGGACAACATCCTGGTCACCCTGGTCCACCACATGCAGGACCTTATCCACAAGGAAATATGGGTTATCCACAACAGGGAGGTCCCCCACCTCAAGGGCATGTTCCGGCAGGTCATCCTAGTGGTCCTCAGAGTCATATGCAGGTACACCAAGATAAAAATACTTTTCATTATAAGCAAATGGTCCGCTATTGTTGCCGCTATAGTCAAAACTAGCGAATAAAATATCTTTTAGGGTCATTTAGTTCCAACTCACCCCGGGCCTCAAGGTCATCTTGGAGGTCCCCCAGGCCCACCTCACCATTCAGTTCCTCCAGGTCATCCAGGATCGCAAGGCCACCCAGGAGGCCATCCATCACATGGTGCCCCACCTCAAGGACATCACCCTGTCATACCTCCTCAGGGTCCCCATGGTATGCATCCCAGCCAGTATCCTGGGCATCCAATGCAAAGGCAAAATCCGGCATCGCCTGGTCCACAGGGACCTCCAGGTCCTGGCCAGCCGAGATCTCAGGTTTCAGAAAATCTGCATGCCCTTCAAAAAGCCATCGATACGATGGAAGAAAAAGGCATGCAAGATGATCAAAGATATTCTCAGTTAATCGCCTTAAGAGCCAGAACCAGTGCAGCTGCTGTAGGCAATTCCATCATGACTCAGCTCCAGATGAGCCAGTTGCGAAACCAAATAATGGCTTATAGGTGCTTATCAAGGAATCAACCCATTCCTTCCTCGATATTACTAGGCGTCCAGGGAAAAAGACCAGACGGATCTCCTCAGTTTCCAACTCCACCGTCAAGTCCTTTTCAACCTCAATCTGCAGGGCAAACGGCAATTGGACCAGAACAACCTTCCACAAGTGATGCTTCTGGGGAAGCTGGAACCAGCGGGATTCCTCCGCAAGGTGTTAAACCCGGTCTTCCAAATGTGGGTGGTCAGCAGCAGCAGCGAGCTCCAGGACAGCTCATGCCCAGTAAACAAAACCGCATCACTGCATTGCCCAAACCGTGCGGAATAGATCCTATAGTTCTTCTCCAAGAGAGGGAAAATAGAGTAGCGGCTCGTATAGCAGCCAGAATCGAACAAGTAAGCAGTTTGGTGACAGATATGTCTGAAAAATTGCGAGTACAAGCCCAAATCGAACTACGCGCTCTGCGATGCCTTAACTTCCAAAGGCAGTTGAGGAGCGAGATTTTAAGTTGCATTAGACGTGATACTACTTTGGAAACGGCCGTCAATATCAAGGCCTACAAGAGGACTAAGCGGCAGGGTCTTAGGGAGGCCAGGGCTACGGAGAAGCTAGAGAAGCAGCAGAAGTTGGAAGCAGAACGAAAACGCAGGCAGAAGAATCAGGAATTCCTGAACTCGGTTCTGTCTCACGGCAAAGAGTTTAAAGAGTTCCATCGCCAGAACCAGGCTAAACTCGCTAAAATCAATAAGGCCATTATTAATTATCACGCTAATGCCGAGAGAGAACAAAAGAAGGAACAAGAAAGAATCGAAAAGGAACGTATGCGCAGGTATGGAATATTTTGTTTGCTGTTTATATATTTTGATATACAGGGTGTTAGTAATATATGTTCTCAAACTTTAATGTGAATTCTGACGTCGACTCGTATCATTATTATTATTTAATTGCATATTCGCCTCACATTGAACTTCGTGACATCTATTTGTATTATCAAATTGTTGTGGTATATCCTAACATGAGTATATATTTTCAATTTTAATCCAATAATATGCTTCTAATAATTTTTATTATTGTCGCCGTTCGATAACCCTGAAATAGAACTTGTTTCAATTCTGGACCCGAACATACGACCCGTCGAAGTCCAGGTGTTACAGCAGACTGCGTCTAAGCCCGCAGTTAGAGACCACATTTACAACAAACGAGTCGACGACTGCCCTAACTCGCTTCCGTCAGTTTGCTAATTTACGCGATTTTAATTTTCCCTATTTTTGTTGTAATTCCCATGTTTAAGTGTAATGAAAATTATACTACAAATTCTTTTATTTATCTCCGCAATAAAAATTGCAGAGGGGTGGATTTATTTTTAAAATACAGACTGTAGAAGCTTAACGAATTCTTTTGGTGACCAATTTGTTGGAACCGTGCCCCAACAACTGATCACCTGGGGTTCCTTAGTTCGGAAATATAGTAAAAGTAAAAATCTTCGCAATGTTTCACCGTTGAAGTGCCGGCGCTAATTTGGAATAAAATGAAAATGTTCTGCTAAGATGCGTGATATGTCCCCTTACAGAGTCGGACACCAACTCTCTCGAATACCGAAGTCGAATGACTTTTATACTAAATCTTGCGCACGCGCTCTTTGAGCTTGACCTCGCGAGAAGAATTCGACGACCGTTAGATTCCGACGACAATTCTTTGTCACAAACACATTTGTTTTTAAGATATAGGACGTTGAAATTTAAAGTTTCATATTTGTTTAAATACATGTCAAGATGCTTGATATAGATCAGTGAAATTTGAGCTAATTATGAAAAAAAAAATTTGCTGAGTTGGTACATAAATCTGCCAAGAAGAATTTCGACACCACTCAATAATTGGTAAATTGAATTGGAGTACAATTAAGTACTGACGGTATTTCTAAAAAAAATCTTTAATTTCCGTTCCTAAAGTTTGATAAAAAAAAGTGCTATATTGTATTGTAGGTTGATGGCGGAAGATGAAGAAGGTTACCGCAAGCTTATCGATCAGAAGAAAGACAAACGTCTGGCATTCCTCCTGTCTCAAACCGACGAGTACATCTGTAACTTGACGCAGATGGTGAAACAGCACAAACTGGAACAGGCCACTAAGAAGAGGGAGGAAGAAAGGCGTAAAAAGAAACAGATGCGAATGCAAGAACCAGACAGAAAAGTTACCGTCATGGAAACTGCTACGGGCAAGAAGCTCAGCGGAGAAAATGCCCCAACTGTCAAACAGGTCCAAGAGTGGCTAATACAGCACCCCGGTTGGGAATTGCTAGACACGGACGATGAAGACGATGACGATGAAAGGGACGAGAGGAGAGAAAGAGAAGGAAAAGACCCGAATGATCCTAAGACAGTCATTAAGAAAGCTAAGGTATGTCCTGTATATACTTAAAAAAAATATAAACAAAAAAAGACGGGTGTGGGGGGGAGGGTTGTCTGGAAAAAATAGTGTAGGTAGTTCATATAACATTTTTCTTATTAATGTTGTCTTTCCGAGATACAGCGTGTTAAATTTGTTACTTTGAAAAGCGATTTTCTTACTTATGTTTAAATTGATTTGAATATAAAAAACTCATAATTAGACCAGGGCGGATCTGTTTTGAGACGGATGTGAGAGGGGAGAAGCACATTTTTTCTGGATTACCTTCAGCACAACTCGCATAATAAAAGTGTAGATCCCTAGATCTGGGCGAGGTCCGGAACATTTTCAAAATTGCAAAAATGTATAAAAAATTTAAAAAAATACCTATTTTATCCTAGTTTTTTACTTATATCTTGGAACTTATGCATTTTGTAAGAATATTGAAGAGGAAAAAGTTAGAATTGAATTTTGCACAATATATTGTAAGTTAAAATGTTTAAATTTATTACCGATGTTGCAAATAGCAATAATTGATGAAAAGAAGGCAAAATAATCAAGTTTTTTTTTTGGATAATTTTTTTTAAATATTTTAATTGCTCCGAGTGCATTCTAATTTTGATAAAAAAACTTTAAACACCTCAAATTTGATTAGTCGGTGCTATAGTTTACGCAAAATAATTTTTTGAAAAAAATTTTGAAAAAAGAGTTTTCAAAATGTTGCACAGCCTCAAATAAAGCATCTAGATACTTCAAAATTTTGCACATAGAAAGGACCGCTCATCCTTTCAAATGGTTTTTGAAAAATTGAAATTGGTTGATTAGGACGACCACAGTAAATTTTTAAAGTTAACACTCTTTTTTTATTTTTAAACAATTCAATTACATTTATCAATTTGCAATTTAGTTTTTTTCAAAAATTATAATTTTAAATTTGTTTAAACAAAAATTATTTAAATAATTGTAATAACTATAACTAAAAATACATTGATATTCAGAGTATTGAAATATGTACGTAAAGAAATATTTTCATAGGGTGAAATATACAGTATATTTAGTGCATAAATAATAAATTTTGTTTATAACAGAATATGTGCAAATTAGACAGTAGGCATTACGATATTCGAATTTCTTGGCTCAAGTCAAGAGACATCGGATTAAAAAAAAAAAGATTGAAATTGGTCCATTAGAAGCCGAGATAATACAATTTTTTTTGTACCTTCGCATTTTGAACCTCCGAATTCAGTCTCGGACCGAAAGCCCCCTCCCCCACTTTTCATGTTTTGAGTCCCACTTCGCGCATGCGAGCGACAGTTTTTCCGCTGATTTATCTATGTTGCCGATAACTTATGGATATAAAAATTTTTTCCAGCTTAAAGCCACTGGATCAAAGATTATTGCTAAATTGTTTATAAATTAACGGTAAATGCCCATAAACTGACCGCTTATATTTCGAGAACCAATAAACGGAATTTAACTTTTTTTTTTTTAAAAAAGAAGCAACTTTCTGAGAACTTTAAAATTAAATTAAATTAATTTTTGGAAAAAACTAAATTGCAAATTGATAAATGTAATCTAATTGTTTAAAAATAAAAAAAAGAGTGTTAACTTTAAAAATTTACTGTGGCCGTCCTAATCGACCGATTTCAAGTTTTCAAAAACCATTTGAAAGGTCGAGTGGTCTATTCTATGTGAAAAAATTTTCAAGTATCTAGATGCTTTATTTGAGGCTGTGCAACATTTTGAAAATTGGAAAATGTTTTAAAAAAATTATTTTGCGAAAACTATAGAACCGATTTTAATGAAATTTGGTGTGTTGTTTTATTATACTCTAAAGTTTTTTTAGGGATCAACCGATACCGATACATATATCGGTGTATTGGCATTATCTACCTCTTTGGCCGATTATCGGTATCGGTCAGCCGATATAGACCGATATATATATTTCTATTACAAAAATATTTTTAAAAATTGAGTAAAAATACTCGAAAAATACATAATTTATTTGTACAAAAGTACAAAAATTCTTTACCTAAAATAAATGAAATGTAACAGTAATTAGTACTTATTGGTTTTTAGCAGAAAAAATCTAAAGAATAATTACTTAAGTTTTAATATAAAAAATAAAGAAAACATAGGTGTAAGTAATTACATGTAAGTATATGTAATTTAATTAGAAATGATTAATAAATTAAAACTAGACTTTGACACATGAGAAAAAAAAAACAAAATATAATAAAAAATGTGAAAAATCATCAAAACATTATTTTAAAAATATTTATAATTTAATTTGTGGTGTGATGTAAGAAAGTAACAGATTTTTTGCTTACAATACAAATTGGATTTTCAGTTTTCTCCTTGTTTTGACATAGTTTTTCTAAAAATTTCCATAATGGGCTTGATTTGGGCATTTTATTATAATTTTATTTTACTGGCTTCTATTACATTACTTTACTCTGAGTTTGCAGAGTTAAATATAAAACACTAAACCTTAAACTGACGCAAATAACAAATAAACGTTCTGACTTTCAAAGACGTACAACGCGTGTTTATCCAATTACACGAGGAAATGTTATGTGATGATGAGTACCACGGGGTTTCAATGCAATTCACGACGGAAATAGTCGAACGGCCGATATGCCGATATATCGGTATATAGCCTTTGATATATTGGTATCGGTCAAAAATCGTATATCGGTCGATCCCTAGTTTTTTTTACCAAAATTAGAATGCCCTCGGAGCAATTAAAATATTTTAAAAAAATTATCCAAAAAACTTGATTATTTTGCCTTTTTTCATCGATTACTGCTATTTTACAACATCGGTAATAAATTTAAACATTTTTAACTTTCAGTATATTGTGCAAAATTCAATTCTAAAACTTTTTTTCTTCTTCAATATTCTTCCAAAATGCATAGGTTCCAAGATATAAGTAAACAATTCAGCTAAAATAGGAATTTTTTAAAATTTTTTAAACAATTTTCCAATTTTTAAAATGTTTTGGACCTTGCCCAGATTTAGAGATCTACACTTTTATTATGAGTTGTACTGAAGCTATTCCAGCAAAAATTAGCTTGCTCCCTCTTACATCCAACAAAACAAAAAAATTTAAAAAACAGTAAACAAAAATTTGTAAAAACTTTTGTTGCAGAATTTGTTTCTTGATAAGAGACTTCAACTAAAAAAAAATCGTTAATAAATATTTTTGATTAGGTTAGTTATTTGTTTCTTGGATCCTTGTGGTAGCCCATATATTGCATAAATTTTTTTAGGTGGAAGATGATGAGTATCATAAGAATTCTCTGGAGGAGCAAACTTATTACAGCATTGCTCACACTGTTCACGAAATAGTCACGGAACAAGCTTCTATCATGGTTAATGGCATGTTGAAGGAGTACCAAGTGAAAGGTTTGGAATGGATGGTGTCCTTGTACAACAACAATCTCAATGGAATTCTAGCTGACGAAATGGGTCTCGGTAAAACCATACAGACCATCGCCCTCATCACCTATCTCATGGAAAAGAAGAAACTCAATGGTCCTTTCCTGATTATTGTACCGTTATCGTAAGTAAATTTAAACTAGTTTCGTGTTACATGTTATTAAAATAATCCTTAGGACGATTTCGAACTGGATGTTGGAATTTGAGAAATGGGCTCCGACGGTTATCGTGGTGTCCTACAAGGGTTCACCGGCGGTTAGAAGAGTCATCCAGAGTCAGATGAGGGCGGCGAAATTTAACGTTTTGCTAACCACTTATGAGTACATCATAAAAGATAAGGGCGTACTAGCCAAGGTACTTATTGCCGTTGGTTTTTCATAAAAATACTTTATCTCGTTTTTGTTTATAGTTACCTTTCAAGTATATGATCATCGATGAGGGCCATCGGATGAAGAACCACCACTGTAAATTGACTCAGGTCCTGAATACTCATTATCTCGCACCATATCGATTATTGCTGACGGGTACTCCTCTTCAAAATAAGTTACCGGAATTGTGGGCGTTGCTGAATTTCTTGCTACCCTCCATTTTCAAAAGCTGTTCCACCTTTGAGCAATGGTTCAACGCGCCATTCGCTACTACTGGCGAAAAGGTAATAAGATTTTATCGAGTCAATGGGTTGCAAATTGGGTAATATTGTAGGCCACTGCACACTTTAACGGAAGTAGTGCAGTGATTTGAGTGAAATAATATTTTTCCGTACTTTCAGGTGGAACTAAACGAAGAGGAAACGATTCTCATCATCCGTCGTTTGCACAAAGTGTTGCGTCCGTTCCTCCTAAGGCGTCTGAAGAAGGAGGTGGAATCTCAGTTACCCGACAAAGTCGAGTACATCATAAAATGCGATATGTCCGGTTTGCAAAGAGTGCTGTACCAGCACATGCAAAGCAAAGGAGTTTTACTCACCGACGGCTCGGAAAAGGGTACGAAGGGCAAGGGAGGCGCCAAGGCCCTCATGAACACCATCGTCCAGCTCCGGAAGTTATGTAACCACCCGTTCATGTTCCAAAACATCGAGGAGAAGTACTGTGATCACGTCGGCATCGCCGGAGGGGTCATTTCTGGTCCCGATACATACCGCGCGTCTGGAAAATTCGAGCTGTTGGATCGTATCCTGCCCAAGTTGAAAGCAACCAATCACCGCGTGTTGCTCTTCTGTCAAATGACGCAGCTCATGACGATCATGGAGGATTATCTAAACTGGAGGGGATTCAAGTATCTCCGCCTGGACGGTACAATAAAAGCCGAGGATCGTGGTGATTTGCTGAGGAAGTTCAATGATAATAATAGCGAATATTTTCTATTCTTGCTCTCTACCAGGGCGGGAGGTTTAGGATTGAATTTGCAAACGGCTGACACTGTTATTATATTCGATTCGGATTGGAATCCGCACCAGGTAAGCTGGAAAAAAAAAATGCAAAAATTCCTCAAGTTATGGTCCGTTTTCTGTTTTTAGGATCTGCAAGCTCAAGATCGTGCTCACCGTATCGGCCAGCAGAACGAGGTGAGGGTGTTACGTCTCATGACGGTGAATTCAGTGGAAGAACGTATCCTCGCCGCAGCTAAATACAAATTGACTATGGACGAGAAGGTTATCCAGGCTGGTATGTTCGATCAGAAGTCGACGGGGTCGGAGCGGCAACAGTTTCTGCAGAGTATTTTACACAATGACGGAAGCGATGAAGAGGTAAGATTTTCTCTACGGTAACTTATTTCATTTCAGAGGCCAATCTGGGAAACCTGAAATTATAAGGATATTTCATAGATTTGGAGGTGTCGACGAATTTCTAAAATTTTTATGAAATTTTTTCAGTTACAAGTAATCGGTTTGAAAAGAAAAGTACTTTTCATGCGACATATGTTATCTTTAGTATTTTTGCCTCCTGATCACGAATCCGGTGTCAGAATTGAGCTATCACATCACAGACATTTCCTAACCTCAAAAAAACAGGTAAAAAATAGCAAAAATTCATGGAAAAGTGCTAGGAAAAATTGAAAAATTTTTTTCTATATTCAAATGTTCATTTATATAGTTAACACCCCGCCGAACGTGAATTAGTGGTCAGAATTGATGAAGAACAATGGCATGGAGAATAAAGGCAGTTTATTCTTGAACAATATTTATATTTACCGATTTTCTGATCACCCTGTATATGCAAGACGAAAGTTCTCCATGCCAACCGCATTTTAAAGACAAGCAAAAATTTTAATCAAGAATGCCTTTTTCTCGTAAAATGAAAAATAAAAATATTTTCTCTTTTTCCCACTCCAACCGTGGACATACTGTAGAGTACTAAGCATATCCACAAAATAATAGTACTCAATTTTTTACAAATCGAAAATGAATGAAAATGAAGAATTTAAATATTCAGAAAGGTCCATCAAACACAATTTTTCGGTGTAGTCGCCTTCAACCTCAATGCACTTTGTGAGCCGAGGGATGAGCTTTCTTATATATACTTTGTCAAAACAATGTCCTGCCGCTTCTCGGGCTCATCGTTTCAAGCACTGTGGACTTCATCGTCGGTAGAAAACCTTTTTCCACCCATAAACACCTTCATAAGGGCGAAGTTGAAAATCAGAAGGTAGTTCAATCAAATTACTTTTTCAAGTGCCAAAAAATAGTTCAGTAATTGAAAATATGTAAAAATTAAGCAAAATTCCGTAGACTTCAATGAACTACTTTACCCCACCTGAATTTTTGGGCTTCATTTTCAAAATGGTGTCCAAAGTTTGCAAAAACAGCTTTTTTCATTTATAAAAAACATTTTAGAAAAAAATCTCAAATAAATGTAGAAATTTTTAATACGGATCGAATAAGCCCAAACTGGTTTTAATCGATAGATAAATTAATTAGTTATTGCAAAAAAACTGCTAAAAATCGCAATTTTTTCAAATTGCTGTATCTCTCAAAAATAAATATTTTTTTATGAAACTTGGTGAAATTATAGCTCTTGGTGAGCAAAATAAAATGATTTTTTTCAAAATTGAAAAATATTTTATAGTTTTTGCAAAAATGTAAATAAAAGTATAAAAACTAGTATACAATCAGTTATTTTTTTGATTGTATGAAAATTATATTAATTTATTTTTAAACGTTTTTTAGGCCTCTATTCTTCTTCGCTACTACTGTTTAACACGATTTCTTGTTCATCACCTTCATCATCGGTTTTCTTCGTCTGATTCGATTTAATTTTCTGATAAACATGGCCGAAATCAAAAAATTAATCAAAGTTTTATGGCCCTGTAAAAAAAAACGATTTTTCGATCATTTTTTGCGATATTTGAAATCGATTTGAGACTCGCGCAATATTTGCACATAATAGTGTAATTATTAAAGAAAATTTTAAGCCCAACCCCGTTCCTAAAGATGTGGGGGTCTATGAATTATGGGGATTTTACAAAAATGCTTTTTTTTCGAAAAACTCGATTTTTGCAAAAACTAAAATATTTTTCAGTTTTGAAAAAATCATTTTATTTTACTCACCAAAAAAATATTTATTTTTGAGCTATTTGAAAAAATTGCGATTTTTAGCAGTTTTTTTGCAATGACTAATTAATTTATTTATCGATCAAAACCGGTTTCGCCTTATTCGATCCATATTAAAAATTCCTACAACTTTTGTTTGAAACATTTTTTTTCTAAAATGTTTAGTTTTTTTATAAATGAAAAATACTGTTTTTTGAGAACATCGGACGACATTTTGAAAATGAAGCCCAAAAATTCAGGTGAGGTAAAGTAGTTCATTGAATTCTACAGAATTTTTTCTAATTTTTACATATTTTCAATTACTGAACAATTTTTTGGCAAATAAATGAGGTATTTTCGACAATTTGATTGGACTAAGATGCCAAGTCAGGGCTGTGAGTGGGGTGGTTGATGTTGTTCCTATTGAATTAATTCAAGAGTTGCTTTGTGGCGTTAGCTGTGTGGGATGTGTATGCAACAAGTATACTCCCCTCGTTGACATTTCCCTTCTTTTGTTCTATATTAGGGTTTCACAGTACCGTGCAGCATTGTTCCGCCTGAGGAGAATTCCTTACGACCCATAACACAGTTGCCATAATCATTCAGGCCGAAACAACGGTTTTGAATTTTTTCGCTAATTTTGAAGATGGATGTTGCCACTACATTGATTATCTTTTCGTGTCAGGGGTGTAGTGGGCCATCCCCGTTTTGTTGCCAGTCACAATATAGTCAAAGAATTGTTCACTTTCTAGTCGGAAGCTCTAGAAATTCCCGTGAAGATGCAATTCTGTTGGGTTTGTGTTAATCCGTTAGTTATTTTTGTACCCACCTCGCACACAATTTTCGATAACTAAGTGTTTCAGTAATGATTTCATGCAGAAGAGGTTTGGAGATTTGTGGAAACACTGATTATCTCGCCACGAAGCATTTCTTCGATCTTGTTCAGTCACGATTGAAGGACACCCACTCCTTTGTTCATTATGAATATTCATTCTGGCAGTTTTATATTCATGACACCATTTGTACACATTAGTACGATTCATCAAACTGGCCCCATAAACAGTTTTGATTCCGTTAAAAATCTGGAATGGCGCCTTTCCCTTTGCAAGAAGAAACCTGATTACGCTCCTCACCTCTCAGCCCTCGAGATTCAGAATAGCGACAGTCATTTCAACACATCACTACAACTACAGTTCTCAACTGACAGACAAATGAGTGCGCGTTCTGTTGCCAACTTTGTCGAAAATAGAAAAAGCTCAGTACTCCTACTTTGTGGATATGTCTCGTATATCATTATGACAGGAATTTAGCAGGAGTATAATTTGACAGATCTGCCGTTTTTACTCACAGGTTCTTGCCACACTATTAGCACAATAAGAACCTAACTGATTTCAAATCTTAACTAGTATATCCTTTCTTAGCACATATTTTAAATAATCCGGTCTACTTGCACTTAAAAATACGAAGTAATTTGTAGGAAGTACTATAATTTCTATGAATATTAAGAAAACTAATCCCACAACCAATTTAAAAACGATTGATTTATCACTCCATACCAATTCATAAGAATCATAAGTGACTATTATAACATTATGAATATACAAATTGTAATTTTTAAAAGATATACATTTTTTAGGAAGAGAATGAAGTTCCCGATGACGAGACGGTCAACCAGATGGTCGCGCGAAACGAGGACGAATTCCAGCTCTTTCAAAAAATGGACACGGACCGTAAAACAGACGAGGAGAATTTGGGAATGCACCGCAAGCATCGCTTAATTCAAGAAAGCGAATTGCCTGACTGGCTGTTAAAGCACGACGACGAAGTGGAAACTTGGAGCTTCGACGATCCGGACGCCCTATTAGGAAGAGGCACAAGGCAGAGGAAAGAAGTCGACTATGCTGACAGCCTCACCGAGAAAGAATGGTTAAAAGTAAGTGGTGTCGATACCACTTCATTTCTCCAGTTTTTAACTTTTTTTTTTATAGGCGATCGACGAGGACGGCGATTATGACGATGAAGAAGAAGAGGAGAAAGAAGTTAAGAAGAAGAGGGGTAGGAAGAAGAGGAAGCGAGACGATTCTGATGAAGATATTACCAGCAGTGGTAGGAAGAGAAGGCCTCCTCAGAATCAAGCAGAGGCGAAGTTTAAGAAGAGGATGAAGAAGTTGATGAATATCGTCATAAATTACACTGATAGGTACGACATTACAAGCGGTGGAATGTGGAAGTGCTAATTAAAAAATTTTTCAGAGATGGGCGTCAGTTAAGTGATCAGTTTATAAAACTGCCGCCGAGGAAGGAATATCCGGACTATTATACGATAATTAAGAAACCAATTGATATTACTAAAATTATGAATTACATCGACGATGGAAAGGTGAGTTATTGCAGTATCTTCAATGTAATTTGGTTTTTATAGAACATAGACAGGCGAAGAGTTTTTTTGTAATATTTTTTTGTTTAACAAATAATTCCAACTAAAAATTTAAATCGAAAATTTCAAGATTCAAGTTTGAATTTTATATTTTAAGTTTATACACTAAAAATAAACAGAAAATGAAAATTTCGAATTTCGACATAAAATTTCAGCCTTCAGAGGGCTCTATAGCAAATAGGCAACCAGCAATACGTTTTATAGATTTGATTACACAGTTTATCTAAATATGAATTAATGCACAAATAACAGACTGTCCCCCATTTTATCGCAGATTTTCTATAAAATGGACTTGGTTTGAAACTCGAATTACTTTTTGGTGTAAAGAAATTTGTAATTTACGATACCGATGTTGAAAAGCAGCAAATTACAAATTTCTTTACAACAAAGTGTAATTTGAGTTTCAAACTAACTCCATTTTATAGAAAATCTTCATTAGAATGGAGGAAAGTCTGTTATTTGTGTATTAATTCATATTTAGACAAACTGTGTAATAATAGTATATTACGCAATAAGTGTTGTAAAAAGCATTTTACGCACGAATGGATAAGTTACGCACGACGCCGCGTAGCGGCGAGTGCGTAATTCTATGAGTGCGTAATTGCATTACACCACGTATTACGTACTATACTTTACTTATGACCACTACCTTAAATACTTAAAAACATACCGTCTGCGATCAATGCAAGATTCCTATTACGTCGTACGGTAAAAAAATCGCACAGCTTGGTAAAAAAATCGTACAGTTTTCCTAGTAACCGCCTAGCAACGGTCAATACAAACAGTATTGTATTGGCCGTTGCTAGGCAGTTGCTAGGAAAACTGTGTGTTTTTTTTACCGTACGTAATAGGAATCTTACATTGATCGCAGACAGTGTGTACTTACAGTAGTGGTCGTAGGTAAAATCTATAAAAATGTATTGCTGGTTGCCTAATTATGAATTAATGCACAAATAACAGATTTTTCCCCATTTTATCGCAGATTTTCTATAAAATCTGAGTTTGAAACTCAAATTACTTTTTGGTGTAAAGAAATTTGTAATTTATGATGTCGCTTGTTTAAAAGCGGCAAATTACAAATTTCTTTACAACAAAAAGTAATTCGAGTTTCAAACTAACCACTTTAGAAAATCTTCATTAGAATGGAGGAAAGGCTGTTATTTGTGCATTAATTCATATTTAAACAAACTCTAATAAAATCTATAGTAATATATTGCTGGTTGCCTAAAAATTAATTAATGCACAAATAAAATATCAAGACTTTCCCCCATTTTATCGCAGATTTTTCATAAATTCTGAGTTTGAAACTCAAATTACTTTTTGGTGTAAAGAAATTTGTGTTCCAACTAATTCCATTTTATAGAAAATCATTACATTACTACATTAGAATTGAGGAAAGTATGTTATTTAGACAAACTGTGTAATAAAATCTATAAAAATGTATTGCTGGTTGCCTAAATATGAATTAATGCACAAATAACAGACTTTCCCCCATTTTATCGCAGATTTTCTATAAATTCTGAGTTTGAAACTCAAATTACTTTTTGGTGTAAAAAAATTTGTAATTTACGATGTCGCTTGTTCAAAAGCGGCAAATTACACATTTCTTTACAACGAAAAGTAATTTGAGTTTCAAACTAACTCCATTTTATAGAAAATCTTCATTAGAATGGAGGAAAGTCTGTTATTTGTGAATTAATTCATATTTAGACAAACTGTAATAAAATCTATAAAAACGTATTGCTGGTTGCCTATTTGCTATAGAAACCTCTTAATCCGAAAATTTGTTACATTTAATTAAATATAATACACATTTCATGTTTAAACTTGAGGTTTCAGCTACAAATTTAAAAATTCAAGTTTGAACAACAAATTTAAAATTTTGAGTTTCAATTTCAAGTTTGAGTTTCTAATTTTCAGTTCAATTTTTAAATTTCCATAGTGAAGTTTGCCTCATATATTTTGAGCTTGAACTCCAAATTTAATAAACGAAAAAGTAATATAAAACACCTGCAATACATATTTCTATGCTTTTGTAGAAAGACTAAACATTTTTTTTGTCTACCATATTCAAACTTATAATTTCAAGTTTAAACTGGAACTTTCGAGTTTCAATACAAAATTTTACAATTTTACAATCAGAAATTTCAAGTTCAAACAAAAAAATTTAAGTTTGAAGTCAAAATTTCATGTTTAGGCTGAAAATTTGTGAAACAAAAATAGCTGGGTTTCAATTTCAAATTTGTGTCAAGTTCAGACTTGACCAGTCAAATTCAAAATAGAAATTTCATGTTGAAACTTCAGGTGCAAATTTGAAATTTCGAATTTGGGCTCAAAATTTCATATTTTGCCTTTCTCTTTTGAAGTTTGAATTCAGAATATTGAGATTTTAAAATTTCATGTCGAAACACGAAATTGTGAGGTTTATACTTTTACTTTCTAACTCTAACTAACTCTACTCTAAATTTGATTAAAAAAATAAATAAAACGTGACACATATTTCTATGCGTTTGTGAAAAGGCTAAACAATTTTTTTCTCATTTACCAAATTTCGAGTTTTGATACAAAATTTGATATTCAGACTTGAAATTATGATTTTATAACTCGTTTTAAATTTAAATTTGAAAAATCAAATTCAAACTGAAAATGTTACGTTCAAATCTGAACCCAAAATTTTAAGTTTTAATTTTAAATATCAAGTTTGAAGCTAAATCTCAAAATTCATATCCAGTAGAACCTCGGTTATCCGACCTCGCTTTATCCGTCCCCATTTTCCGACATCGTGGGCGAAACAGCGATTCCGTGTTAACCGACGTTCATCCGTATTATCCGACATCCGATGACCTATGCCCAATTTCTGCTGTTTTATTTCTTAAAAAAATAATAAAAATAAATGAACCCGGATTATCCGACTTTTTCCGTTATCCGACCTTGCGCCGGTCCACAATAGGTCGGATAATCGCGGTTCTACTGAACTTGAATTTCAACTTGGATTTATAAAATGAATAAATTCTAACCTTTCTACGTTTTCGGGGGTTTTACATCGTTTGGTTTTTTTTCTTAGTATTCGGACTTTATGGACCTGGAGAGGGACTTCATGCTCCTCTGCCAAAACGCCCAGATCTACAACGAGGAAGCCTCCATAATCCACGAGGACAGCATCGTGCTCCAATCAGTATTCTCAAACGCCAAACAGAAAATCGAGGCCGCCATCGATTCCGAGGAAGAGAAGGAAGATAACAATTCCGACGTCGACTCCTCGTCCAGGGGTAAAGGTAAGACTAAAGTTAAGAGGAGACCGGGCAGGCCCAAGCGGGTGGTTAAGAAATACATATCGGACGAGGACGATGACGACGATTGAGTTTCCTAGTAGGTTTAAGTTTATAGGATGCCACTTGTGCAAAATTGTGCTGATAACGGTGAATTTCGGTAATTGTGCGTTGCCTTGTTCTTTTCTGGCCGGCCTCTATTTTCAAAGCTGCTGAATAATTGTTAATGCTTTACGTTGAAAAAAAATTCGTACGAGTTTTGATGTTTGAGGGTGTAACGTACCTTTTTATTTTGTTAGGTATTGCATCAAGAATCGGGGAGCGCTTTGTTTGAGTTTAAGAATGTTTTGCCCTTGGAACTCCGATTTTTGAAATGCAGGGTGTCTTTTTTATATTTAAATGTTTTCTGAGGAGTACATTACTAAAATGGCTTTCAACATGGAAAAAAAAAATTAAATATATAGATCTCACAGGGTGTTTACCAATCTGGAAAACTTAGAATTATCAGAAAAATGTCAGGGACTTTCTCAAATTTTCGTAGAATTTTGTCAAATTTCAATTGTAATTGGTTTTTATTTACTGCCACTGAATGCCATGTCGCCGAGAAGTAAATTTGCCTCTAATTTTATATCATCTATCTGTCGTTAACAATTTTAGTGAGTAGTTAAAACATTTTTTATCGAAAAATGTAAAGATGCTTATTATGAATACGTATGAACTACTGTGGTTATTTTTTTAACCGTGTATCGCTAATGTTACTAAATTTTAAGAACGCGCAGTTTGACGATAAAATATTAACGACGATCTTTAATTTGGAAAATAGCATTGAGAATTGTTCTAATCTTTGATTAAATAGAAACAAAAAAAAAAAAAAAATTAAAAATTCAAGCTGGTAAGCATTTATACTATTAAAATTTTCTTTATTCACATTTTGATTTAAGATTCTTTTATTATTATTTATATAAAACTGACCATTCTGGGTTCTGTTCCTATTTCAATAACAAATTCGCATATTTTTATTGTTGATTATTTAAATATTTTATTTTAAATTGAGTTCCTTACATATACAAGGTGTTTGTAAATAAGTGCGAAATATTTTAGGGTCTGGTTGCCGAAGTTATTTTGTGAAAAAAACATGCTTCGTTTCCGTGATACAGTGTTTAAATTTTATTTTTTTATTTATTTTTATTAATTATTTCAACGTTTTAGAAATATTGACTCGAAATTTAATGGTTGCATTTTATTTAGTAATATTGAAAGCAGCCTACTAGACAATGTATCAATAGAAATTAAAAATACACAACTTGCAATACAGGGTGTTCTCAAAGTTGAGTCATTTATTTTAACAGCTGGTGGAACTCGGATTTACCAAAAATCGTTTATATAAAAGTTGTCAAAAGCAATTATTAACAATTATTTTAAAAAAATTGAAATTTAAAAACTTTATAATACAAACCTGATTTATTGTCAATTTCGACCACTGCGTTGTAAAAACATAAATTGTTTGTTTACTAACATGGACCTAGTGCTCGTTGTTGGGTCGTTTTCGACAATTTCTAAAATTTCTTCCTCGATCTCCACCATTTCGCGAGGAGGAGGTCTTTCAGCGTGACCTCGCTGTTCCTTTAAATACCCTGTATCGTGGAGTCTTATAAGTAAATTTACAAACATCGCGGAGCCAGATGATTTCATAAAGGAAACCTTTCCGCTTACAAGCGACATGCTGCGGCTGCATTTTGTTGACACTCCCCCTAAGTCAATATTATGTCTACTAGTTCATTGTTTTCATAAACATGTCCAATTTTTATTGCACAAAACACCCACAAATCAAAAATAATATCACGCACTACTGTACGAATTATCAAAGCAAAAAGCGTACTCAAAACAGTGCAACTACAAAAAACAATTTATGTTTTTACAACGTAGTGGTCAAAAATGACAATAAATCAGGTTTGTATTATAAAGTTTTTAAATCTCAATTTTTTTAAATAATTGTTATAATTATTGCTTTATTTGACAAATTTTATACAAACGATTTTTGGTAAATCGGCTTTTTTACGAGTTCTACCAGCTTTTAAAATAAATTACTCAACTTTAAGAACACCCTGTATAATATGTTTTATTTTTTCCTCAAAAACGGTGCATCCTACAAAACAAATGTAGAGACCAATTTCATTCAGAATTGATGGCGGATTTCTAAAAAATATAAAATATCAAGACAGGAACCATTTTTTTTTATTAAAAAAGTTGTGGCATTCTCGGACGAACGCCACTGGTGCAGGTAGATATATTGGGATCACCCCAAAAAATGTACATTTATCCCTCCAAAGCGTTCTTCAAACTTCGAGTCAATATCTTTAAAACTCTGAAATAATTAATAATAAATAAAAAATTTAAATTTAAACACTCTGTATCTTGGAAATGAATCATATTTCGACCTACATTTATATGAACTTTTTTTCATAAAATAATAATTTTGGCAACCACCTAAAATATTTCGCATTTATTTACAAACACCCTGTATTTTAAATAAAGTACAACTTTATTAATATTATTAATGTAGTAAATATTAACTGCCATAATAAAGTTCCTGATAATTTGTCCAAAGAAATAATATTTGCTGATTTTGTAGTGTTATTAGAAATGAGGCTATTTCAGTTTACCTAAAAATTCCACATAGTTTTCATAAAATGTATTTTTTTTATTTTAGTTGAATAAAATAATGTTATTTTCTCCTGAACTAAAAACCTCCTTGTATATCTAGATTGCCCTTATTTGGTATTCAACCACAAATTTAATGGGGCCACTGTACAATTTTTGAAATAATCATACTTTGTTAAACGTAGGAAGTAGGATTGACCAAAAGTTTGGGAAATGATAAGACTATTGAAAAATGAAAACTGATGTAGGGCATATATCTTCACAAATGGGAAAATTTGTTATACCTACCTGAAAAATTTGAAAATATCAGGGATATTTTTTATCAAAATTTGCTAAAATATCCAAAAAAATTAAGATTTGAAATAAAATTTCTGCAAAATTTGTAATGAAAAAATTAAGTCTCGACTCAAACCAATGTCGTAGATATGGGGTGTACTGGCTAGGTTTTCCTGAAAAATTGTGGCACTGGGAAAATTTATTCTTTTGTTATTTTTGAAATGCAAATTTTATTTGAGCGAACACCTCTTGACTTTTTTGCATGCCTTTTACTGAATCGGTACAAATCAGTAATTTGTACCAGCTTGATAAATTTCAATAATTTATTAATTAATAATTTTACAAAAAGTCTGTGACACAAAATATTGTTTCAGTGATCATTTCTTTTTAACTTTTAAGTTTCGTCTATTTCGAAAATATGGACTTCAAGGGTAAATGTTTATATTTTTAAATTTGAATGAAGAAAATCCTCCATTTTTGTGTTACACCCTGTATAACACCAACATTTAACATGGGAATAATTTGTCAAAAAATATTTTATTTGAAAATTAATTTAAAAAACTATTTGGTATCTCGGAAATTATTTTAAATGATGGAGATTGAAATTTTTCAAATTTTTATTTATTTGCAAATTATTGTCTGAGGAAAATTCATACATAAATCAATTTTTATCAATGTCAAAGGCAATTTGTTTTTTATTCTTCCTTATTTCTTTATTTTGTTTTGCAAAAAAATTTTTCATGTCACTTTTTCTTAGACGTGTTCGCCTCGTAACAAAATTTATTTATTAAAAAGAAATCAAGTGAAGATACAGCTGGCCCAGGAGCAGTTATTTCTTTTAAAAAGCCTTAACTTTATAGCATGAACATGAAATACCATAATTTTATACTTTACATAAAACATATTCATTCCATTTCACATAATTTTGTTAAACATTTAATTTTTCGCACATAATTTTTCTGTAATTAATGAGAAGTGTTCAGTGTTTTGAAAATGCAGGCTAGGCGTAGCTTAAACATATAATTTCCATTTTTAGGATATTTTATATACAGTAATTTAATTTTTCCTCAGATTGGCAATGCATTTAGTGCTTTCTAGAATGGAATATATGAATTTGTTTATGTTTAAGTAACATAAAAACACTTTTGGTATGTTTTTATTTTCTAATTTTTTTGATGATATTAGTTGCTTAGTTAGCATTAATTTTGCATTAAATACTACAGGGATATGTATAGTAGTGGTATATGTAATAAAATTATTATTCTGGGTGTTGTCTCTAAGGAATTATTTTACCTTAATCCTCATCCTGTTTTATTAATCGAGAAAATAAAAAATATCCGTGGATATTTTCACTAAAATTGAAAATAAACCATTTTACAATTATTTTACAAAAATATGAAAAAAGATCATAAGAACATAGATCTGCGAACATTTTGTTTTTAAGGCACAAGGCGATAAAGTTTTTCTATTTTTTAAATATCTTCATTTATTCTGTGTTTTTTACAATAATCCATTCAAATTCAACAATTTTATTTTTCTTTACCAACGAATTACTGCTCAAAATGAACTAAAATGTAACACATTATTTGGAATTACAACCTTCCGAATTTTATTTTTATGAGTACACCAACTTGAGAAAAATAATTTTTAATTTTAACTGAATGGTATTCACAAAAATGTTACTCAAGCAGTATTCAATAATGATAAATAACACTTGAAATTTTGTGGCTAATCTTCGAGTACTGGTAGGTACCAGTACCTCTTCCACAGCGTCTAAAATTTCTGGTTTCTATTTTTCATTCTCTAAATTTGTTCCTGTCTACCATTAGCATATTGGCGTTCAAAGCTCCCATAATTTCTTAAATGTTGTGGGAGTAGTCTAATATCGTCTTCTTTGCTTATGACAAAAAGTAGGCTCTAATTATCAACTCTTGATTCCTATACATGATTTTTCATAATATATAAAAACTTGTAAATTAGAACACAAAATTAAACTGTACAGTCATTAAAAATTGAAATAAATAACTTGAAAGATTATATACTTACACCACATAGCGATATGTTTTCACTAAATTATTGTAGATTAGTTAATATTTAATAAATCGTGTTAAAATTTTAAATTTTTTAAGAAACCATAGAATGTTTTTTTTAATGTTCGGCGCTTCGACCACAGTGATAACAAAAAAATATGGTGTTTTTAAAATGACACATCGTCGTCGCTAAGTTATATAAAGGCAATTTGTTTTACTAAATTATTTTTCAATGTCTTCCCACAATGTAGGTTGATTTAAAAACAACCGACACTGATAGTGCACTAATACGGAAATTCCGGGTGCCCCGCGTAACCAAGAATTAAAGTGTAGTTTAAAAAACTAATAATAACTCTACTATTTATTTGATTGAAATAAAAAGAATTTCAGATTCGTGTTTAGGAGAATACATACTGTTACCCCTAAAAAACTGACCCCCCCACTTAAAGTTACACCCTATATAGTTAGATATATATTATACTATTAAAGCACCTTAATCAAATGTCGTCATTTGTCAGATTAACCAGAAATTGTGCTGTTAAAACTTTAATAAAGGTCTAAAAAAGTTGGTTTGGCTTTACATCTGCATGAAATGCACATTTCTTTTTCTCATTTTATACTTTTGTCAATTCATTTGGACATAATTTGTAGGACATCTTAGTAACATACATAATCCTACCCTTCTGATTAAACTGAAACATATATAACGATTTGATTAAGTTCTTTAGTAATGTCTAACAGTGCAAAACCGTCTTAATAAAAATGTTTAAAAGAATGACGCCCAATTTCCTTGTTTCATGGATCGAAAAATTTCTTTGCACAACGTCATCTACGAATCTAAATATAAAGAAAACATTTTGATGCCAAATTGAACCCCTTAGTATCCCCTGATTATGGCCAATTTCAAACTAAAAACATATCTTTTAGTTTATAAGGAAATGCCATTGGGAATGTTAAGTGGCAACACCCTGTATATGATTTCAAGTATGTTTGACCAGGGAATAGTGATAATTCCTACCAATCTATCTACTAGGAAATATGCAAAATAAATGAAAGTACTTCCCCTGGATCTCAAAATTGAAGCAGAATGTTTTTTGTTAATTTTGGTAAAAAAAATCACTTACATAATTATATCGGTAGAATATTGCAATGCCCTGTATAGGGAAAAATTAAAATTATATAGTAAAAGTTATATTATATACAATAAAAATTGAAAAAATTTGGATATAAAAGAAAACTGTCTAAATCAATTGTAAATGTTATAAATCTATGAATGAATTAATGAAAATATATTTACACAAAAATAAAATTTGGGGGTAAAACATGACACCAGTAAAATAATTTTGAACAGATGAAAAAGTACATATGTAATAAAAAATATGGCAACAATAGAAGAATTTTAATTTCCTGACTAATTTTGATTTTTGAGATCTTCATCAGATCCGACCTAATGAAGATTGTATAAATTGAAACATTTGTCGTATGGAAATTAAAATTGTTATTTCTTTCATTGTATTGTTGACCATATATTATACAGGGTGTTGCATCACGAGAGGGACATGGCTTAATGGGAGATAGAGGACATCTAGGGTAACTAGGATCGCATATAGAAATAACTTCTTGGCCATTCTTTATTGAGATACAGGGTGATTTATGATTTTTGGTCAAAACTGCTTTATGTTATAACTTTGGTAGGGAATGGAATAATGGGTTCATATTTGATAGGATTAATGCACACACGATACTTCATGTATTCATGTATGACAGCAAAAAAATTCCAGATCCGGACTGCAAAATTTGTTAATTTTTTGTGCATGTCTAGAAAACAACACTCTGTATATATTTTTTGAAATTCCGATACGATATTCGGAAAGTACATAAAAAAGTGATCTTAAAGACGTGTTTCTTTGTTTTTGTTACACTTTGGTGGTTATTTAAATAAGCTCTTGAATATAAGAGACTACGGCTTCTAAAACTAAATTACGTAAAGGACACATGATAAAAATGGTTTTGCAACTAAAATTAGCGAAGGCTTAATTGAGGGTAGATGTTATAAATAAGCATGCATATTTTAAACCTCATTTTCTTTAAATAATGTGTATTCCAGGTCCGGACTGCAAAATTTTTAATTTTGTTTGTAACTCTAGAAAACATCGCCCTGTATGTATTTTTTTGGTATTCTCATACGATTATCGAAAAGAACATAAAAAAGTAATCTCTACGACATGTCTCTTTTTCTTGTTACACTTTGATGATTATTTAAAATCGCATGATAAGAACACATGACAAAAAATAAATTATAATCCGTCGATTTCGATTGCCATCGATACGTCGAGCCATCGATACGTCGAGCAATTGGAAACTTGGGTAAACGAGTATGAAAATGTATCGAAGTTGAGGCCACTTTGAAAATTTGCTATAAAATTAATTTGCCATTGTAAAGTACATTTAGACACCTATTATTTTCTTTGTGTTTTATTGTTATTTGTTTTCCGCGTTTTATTAAATAGTCATTGTTCCCATTTGCTTTTTTATTTCTATTTTTTAGAAATCCTATTTACGAAAAGAAATAAACTACTATTTTGATCATGTATCTTTTACTTACTCATGTAATGTGTTTCTTACTTACTCGTAATTTCATTTTAAAAGCCTTGTTACCGTACAATGAATAGCGTAGTAATCATCAAATTGTAACAAGAAAAAAAGACATGTCGCTGAGATTACTTTTTTATGTTCTTTTCGATAATCATATGGGAATACCAAATAAATACATACTGGGCGATGTTTTCTAGAGTTACAAAAAAAAATTAAAAATTTTGCAGTCCGGACCTGGAATACATATTATTTAAAGAAAATGAGGTTTAAAATATGCATGTTTATTTACAAAATTTACCCTCAATTAATCTTTCGCTAATTTTAGTTGCAAAACCATTTTTTGCATGTGTCCTTTACGTAATTTAGTTTTAGAAGTCGTAGTCTTGTATATTCAATAGCTTATTTAAATAACCACCAAAGTGTAACAAAAAAAAAGAAAGACGTCTTTAAGATCACTTTTTTATGCTCTTTCCAAATATGGTATCGGAATTTAAAAAAATACATACAGAGTGTTGTTTTCTAGACTTGTACAAAAAATTAACAATTTTTGCAGTCCGGACCTAGATTTTTTTTGCTGTCGTACATGCATACATGAAGTATCGTGAGTGCATTAACCCTACCAAATATGAACCCATTACTCCATTCCCTACCAAAGTTATGACATAAAGCAGGTTTGACCAAAAATCATAAATCACCCTGTATCTCAATAAAGAATGGCCAAGAAGTTATTCCTATAGGCGATCCTAGTTACACTAGATGTCCTCTATCTCCCATGAAGCCATGTCCCTCTCGTGATGCAACACCCTGTACATATGTGTCAAAAGGGAAAAACAAATTGGTCTTAAGCACAGTGATGGCTAAAAGTTCTAAAATAATGCTATAAATTTCAAAAGAAAAGGGACTAAAAAATCTAAGGAAACGAATTATAAAGAAATATGGAGAAAGAAAAAATGGATAAATAAAAAAACTAAAAATTATAAGAAATGTCTATACACCTGGAATGGATGGATGGATTGTATCCATCTGCATAAAAAGTGATTTTTTGTGGCATATCAAAACGTGTTTATAATACTTATAAATCGTTTTATATAAAGAAGAGATGGAGGCAACTTAAGGGTCTGTACATGTTTTCAATTCAAAATATACACGAACATTTTCAAATAGCACATATATAAACATTTTATTCACAATAAAAACTTCTATAGGTACTTTATACTTTATCTAATGAAATAAAATTTTTAACAAATATCTCTTAATTACTGAACCTTGGAAGAGTGACAATCTGGTGCTGATGTAGGTAGTTCCACTCTCTTGCAGGGGCTGCCTTCTTGGATAAGTCGATTGGGTCACGATTCTTGAGAATCCTCCAGTGTTTGTCTGAGAGAAAAAAAAATATTTTACAAAAATTTAAGAATAACACCTATTTTATTGCTAAATATTTGAAATAGTTATTTTAGGATAATTTAGATGTCAATTGGGTGTTATCCAAATGGACAAAGAACATGATTTTTGTGCCAAATATAATCAACTGGAAAATGTTAAATATAGATCAAATATGAATTGGCATGCCTACATTTTTTGTAAATATGTTATATTTTCCAAAAATACTGTCTTATATAGAGCACCGATATACAAATAAAAAACCCGTCACAAAAAAGTATAACTGAAATGTTGGGCCTGATGAGTAGCAAAAGAAAAAAGTTATCTAAAATCTTTTGCCCGAAATTTGTTTAATAACACAAACATTGACAAGTTAACAATAAACAAATGTGATGATTAAAATCATGAATTTAACTCTGACTTATATCATTGCAACCCTAGTAAGGGCACTCCTGAAAAGAACCAATCAACTTGATCCACCGACCAACTTTAGTAGTTTATGCATGCAGTCAGAAAGATAGAAGCTAATGAGCGTTAGATTAGTCGTAAACTGGCGAATATAATATACCAATTCCCACTCCTATAGTTATAGAAATAGTTTAAAATTCGTGGAGTTTCGGGCTTAATTTCAAAAAAACGGCTAAAATCACAACAGAAGATGAACTGAATTTTAGAAGAATCTTAAAGACCTTTTTCATTTCAACAATTTGAAGTCTCATCAAAATCGGTACCGCCACTGTAAGTTTTTTTTTACTGGCGGATTGTTTATTTACCTCAAAATGATGGGTAATAAGGACAATTCCGGATGATGCGGTTATTTGCCAAATATTTGTCAAACTTAACTGCCGTATTGTGTGGATGGTGCATATTGATACATTCGAAACTAAGTCTTCACTTGTCAAATATTCAGTTAGACAAGTAGATTTTGCTTTCTCAGACTGGAATTCATTTCTCTACACCCATAAACAAAAATGTAAAGTGTACGCAGGCGTTGACTTGTGGACAATATACATCGCGTATAGAAAGAACATTTACGAATATTTGAAGAGATATTTTCTGTGCTCATGTTACACATCTGTACATCATGTGACATTGTCGATTTTAGTAAAATATTTGCTACATTTGTTTGACGAATGTTTGGCGAGAGACAGCATCATCTGGAGTACTCTTTAGGATGATTATAGCATTTTTTTTCTCTAAAAGGTTGTATCAGTTCTCAGTACATACTCTATAATGTAACGCTGTAATAAAATATTATTATCTTACATAGCAAAGTTTTTAAATTCCTCTTCATATTCACACTTTGAGGATGTCCTCAGTTTCACGTCTCCGTAATTATCGAAAAACTTCGTGTCTTCTTCTCCATTTATTGAAGGCTTGAAAGGCGCTTTAGCTTTTCGACCGAGAATTTTGTCAAAATCCACAGATTTGAACCATTCATGACTTTTGATGTCTTTAACTCCTGCCTTTAAAATGCCGTATCTAAAAAATAATTTGAAAAATATTTCAAACTTATTTTTTTGTTGTTCCTTTGGTGACCCTTGAAAATATTTGTTATCTCCCTCTTGGTTACTGTTTGCAAAAAAAACATTTTTATTTCTGCTTTGTATATTTAGAAAAAAAACGTATCTAGGTGAGTAGGTACTCCACTGTTTTGATAATAAAAATACAGTTGTATGTGATACATGCGAAGAGTATACATAAACTATAAATTATATGCGCGTTTACATAAAACACGTGGCTGCTTTGCGTCTAACCCGTTCCAAACAATTTAAATTTAATAGCATTGAACTGTTTTCAGCAGATCTTGAAACCTTGTTGTTGTGCGTTGTGCGCCTTTTGAATAAGTTATTGTTTATAAAATACCGGAAAATCTTTCCTAGGAAAATAAAAATATTTTTCCTAGCATGTAATCGTCACGTGACGGAAGATTTTTTCAAACTCGCTATTTCTAAGGCTCCAAGAAATAATAAGTTTAATGAATATACCTACTTTAGTTTTCAAAATATTTCTTGATTCAACTCTATCGCGGTATAACGGAAAATACTCAAAAAATATACATATCTATTTGACGGCATTTCTTATGGAATCAAACAAATCTGTAAAATTCCCATTTATAAATATTTTTTGTAAGAGAGTTCCTATATTATTTTCTAATTGTGCTTCCACGGATGAATGGATTGTGAAATCATTTATATAATAAGCACTTAACTAACCTCTTGGTCCTATCTACTTGTAAAATGTTAGTAATCAGGTTTTTCAGCGGCTTCGAGAAGTTGGTCGGAAACACGTATTTCGCTGAAACTATTTTCTCGTATAGCTTCATAGGGTCCTTAGCGTAGAACGGGGGATATCCTGCTGCCATTTCAAATACTAGAACCCCAAAAGACCACCAATCCACAGAATGGTTATAACCTTGACTAAGAATTATCTCTGGAGCTAAATATTCCGGGGTACCTGCAAACAACAATATTTTCTAAATAGAAACTCAAGAACAGTACATGATCCAGTTTTTAAACTTATTTGATTTCGAGTAGTTAAAGTAAGAAGAAAGGTTCGGGAAGTATTTCGGTTTTTGGATTTAATGATTCATTAAAAATCCCAGAAATTCGACACCACCGTTTAAAGAATTTAATCACTGTTTATAAATTTTTGTGATATTTTGTGACAGTTTCTTCAAGAAATCTCTGTTTCTATACAATTTTTTTTTATATCGGCGAACGATAATCTCCAATTGGTTTTAAAGAAAATTGAACAGAAACAGAGATTTCTTGGAAAAACTGTTTTTGGGGTAAACTTTAGTGACGCTTTTTACCTCATTGAAATGTTTATCGGCAGAAAAGAATATATATCTACGTATCTCGTATTTTTTACAACATAGCGAAGATAGACAGATTTTAGGTATTCGAAAAATCGAACTAGTCTCAAATTAACTACTATTTACTTTTTTAAATTGCGTGTCTGCTACTAAAATTAATTATTTTTTTTAGAAAAACTTTTAAATTCAATGTAATCAGTAAGGCCGAAAAGAATAACTGGTGTGGTAATGTTGTATTTTTTATTAGGCACAGTTTCGGAAGAGTGCATTAATTCTATTTAAATTACATTTTGAGAAAAATGTTCCTGTGAACTTTGGAACTTTTTTTTTCCAGTTATTTTACGTGTAACGAAGTGTAATGATAATGTAAATCAAGGAAATTATTAACTCGAAAATAGTCTGTGTTTTTCCGAACAAAATGAAGGAATTTTTTTTCCTAGAAGTAAATGCCACTAGAACATACAAGCAATTATCGAATATCAAAAATATCCCATTGAAAAGTTGATTTTCCAGGAGTTTTATTGATTGTTTCATCTCGAAATAGTTTCTGAAAATGTATTTTCTTTTTTTTTCAAAAAACGAAGCGTTTTCTTTGAAATACTTTTGTTTTATATTGATCAGTTGAATTCAAATTTTATCTCCATCATTAAAGCTGTTTATAAAGTCAGACGATGCGATAATTTTTCTGTCTGGTACGATTTGTTAACATGTATTTTTCTAAGCAGCAGACTATTTGGCGGCTGAAGCAGAGCATTCATCTCTAGAGTTCATTCCAAAATCTATTTTTATTGCATTTAGCGGTTGGATTCGACAGTTACTTAGATTTTTTTGAAGTCATTGCATAATATTAATATAATATGGTTATAAGTAGGTAAGTATATACCGAAGAAATAAAAATAGTCCAGACAGTAACTGTTTCAAAAAGCCCATATTTGGGTGAATCGTATATCCACGGAGATTTTTGGCTTTTTGGCTTTCAAATATGACTGGAAATTAAACATTTTTTATGCGCATAAAAAAACGTGGGCTTAACTTTTGGCGGCACAATATGTTAAAAAAATTCGAAAAATGTCATATTTTTCTTCCTATTTAATTATGTATCTTTTCAAGTTGATTTTAGGCGAAAAAGGAAGAGGTAAAATATGTTTGTAATTAAATTTTTCACGAAATATAACTAGTTACAAATCGAATGAATCATGATTATTATTGTAAAAATCGAAAATATCGCCAAAAATGGGGTTAAAAACATTATTTAGAGAATTTTTTTGGGGTCTTTAAATAGGTTTTGGACCTTCATACTTGGCTCAAGAAAACATGTTATGTAGAATCATCCCACCAAATTTCATCAAAATCGGTTCTATAGATTTTGCATAATAATTTGGCAATCCAGATTTTGAAAAAAAAAATTTTGCAAATTTTTAAAATTTTGCACAGCAAAAACCAAGGCCCTTAGATACTTGAAAATTTAATCACATATAGAAGGGCTTTCAAGCTTTCAAACGCTTTTTGAAAAATTCGAATCCGTCGATTAGGAGAGCTCTGGCACTTGTTTAAACATTGGTCGAATTTAATATATATTTTTATACATATAAATAAATATAATATACATTTATAAACTTAAAACAAAAATTTGTGTACATTTTTTAAATCCTGATTTATTAATGCAATAAAGTATCAATAAAATATTATTGATTTTTTATAATGAATTAATTAATTTAATCATCATTTCTTTTGTGATTAAAGTATAATTCAAATACTATTTATTGTTTAAAATATAAGCAAATGAGAATTAACTCATTATATTACTAATTTTCGACATTTTTTGAAAATAATTGGTGTTTAAACAATTTTAGAATATTTAAATAAATTTGTTTTTGATCTTTGATAAACAGTATATAAGTTTATGCACTTACGAGTACCTTTGGTACAATAAAAAAATAAAGTTGATGATTAAAGGAAGTTTAAAAATAAATAATTATTATCGAACTGTTGAAAGACCTATAATTATTAACGATAGGCATTTAAAAATACATTAATTGTTTCAAATTGTTTTAAAATCATCACTTAGACCTGGTAAGCACTCGGAATACCAAAGGTATTTTTCGAAAAATTAGCCCGGATGTTCCAGTACATTTAGTGTAAATGACGGTTAACTTTGATTGGCTATAACTACGTAATTAATTGACCAATCGATCTGTTTTTTTAAGAAGCGTCTTTCCAATAACATTTAAAATATATTTTTAAAAATTTGATTTGGTTGAATATTCACAAAGTTATTCTAATTGTTTATAAGTACAAAAATTCCACCAATGTTTAAACAAGCGCCAGAGCTCTCCTAATTGACGAATTCGAATTTTTCAAAAAGCGTTTGAAAGCTTGAGAGCCCTTCTATATGTGATTAAGTTTTCAAGTATCTAAGGGCCTTGGTTTTTGCTGTGCAAAATTTTGAAAATTTGCAATTTTTTTTCAAAATCTGGATTGTAAAATTATTATGCAAAATCTATCGAACCGATTTTGATGAAGTGTGGTGTGATGATTCTAAATAACATGAAGTTTTCTTGAGCCAAGTATGAAGGTCCTATACTCAATTTAAAGACCCCAAAAACATTCCTTAAACAGTAATGTTTTTTAACCCCATTTTGGCGATATTTTCGATTTTTACAATAATAATTATGATTCATTCGATTTATAACTAGACATATTTTGTAATATTTAATTACAAACATTTTTTTCCTCTTCCATTTTCGCCTAAAATCAACTCTTGAAAAGATACATAATTAAATAGGAAGAAAAATATGACATTTTTCGAATTTTTTAAACATATTGTTCCGCCAAAAGTTAAGCCCACGTTTTTTTTGCGCATAGAAAAATTTTCATTTCTAGTGGTATTTGCAAGCCAAAAAGCCAAAAATCTCCGTGGATATACGATTCACCCAAACCAAAACAGATACCGCTTAGTCTAAAATCAAATTTGAAAATTTGTGTAAGGAGTTTTCCGATATTCAATAAAATTATTTCCAAATTCCGGTTTCTTCCGGTTCAAATTTTCAGATTTCAATTTGGATGCAAAGGTCGTCTTGTTGATACTGAAAACTGAAACATATTGCCAAAATATGGGGTCAACTGTTTAATTTTGATTTTTTTATTAATAACTAAAAGTCCAATTCCACAAAGCCTTGATCATACACCTAGATCTGATAAAATGGATGGACTAGTGATGGACTTATTGGAAAACCTCATTCCGAATTTTCAAAATAAAATCAAAACCAACGTCAGCTTTGTGAAATTAGAGAAAATTTCGATAGATTTTAAATAACATAATAAAACTTGTTACAAAAAATTATCTCAAAAAATATTTGTCTTTAAAGGGTAACAGTGGAAATGTAGATTCTGCTCTACCACTTCTTTTGATGAATCAGAAATGCTTCCTTTCCGGTTATTTCTCCAAAAAATTGACCCAACTTTTCAGCTTAAATTATTATTATCGATCTCATTTCAATATTTTATTGCGTCTTTGTTCATCCACGTATCAAAATTAATCTGTCAAGTGTCATGTTTTTGTCAGAACCTAAATAAAGTACAAAATACAAACAAATAATACTATAACAATTTAGAGAATAGTGTACGGTTCTGTTGTAAAAAAATTATCTAAATTAAGTTACGACATTAATAGTCCAATCCTTGTTAACTGTAGTCATATAGTACGATATAGAACTAGTTTGTGTGAGCACAGCTGGAAAAACTAAACCACAGTTTAAAATTCACAGGAAAACAAAAAAGAGTTAACTTCTAGAAGCTGATGTCCATGTGATTTGAAGTGCTTCTATCTGAGTTAGATAATTTTCAGTTTTCCGTCATTCGTGACAGTTGAGAATTGACAGTAATGACAATAGTGTACAAGTAGTTCTTTTTTAGTATTTCTACCAGTCTTTTGCTTTTCTGTTGCAACACTAATATTACAAACTTCAAGAAATTTTAGTGAAGTGCCTGTGACTTTCACAGTTATGGCAGATATTTACAATGAGTAGGTACTTACCACAAAGTGTATAGGTCCTTTGACTGTTAATTCTTTTACAGAAACCAAAATCCGTAATTTTCAAATAACCCTCTATGTCTATTAAAATATTTTCAGGTTTTAAGTCTCTGTAAACTATTCCAAGATAGTGCATGTATTCAAAAGCCATAACAACTTGGGCAGCATAGAACTTACACAAGGTTTCGTCGAATTTTTTCGCTGCTCTTAAGTGATAAAACATCTCGCCCCCATTGACAAAAGGCATTACTATGAATATGTACACGTTATTCTTAAAGAAAAATTCCATGTTTACTAAAAACGGAAAACTAAACGAGTCCATGCACCTTATTTCTGCTATTGTATGTACTAATTGTCTGGTACGTATTATGTTAGCTTTCTCCATTATTTTCATCGCATAAAATTTCTCGTTGGCTTTATGCTGGCAGAGTACGACTTTTCCAAAAGTTCCAGTACCAAGAGTTTGCATTTGTTTAAAATCTTCCATTTTCGCGGTCGTGGGGAAGTCGCCATTAATTTTTGCGTCGAATTTTGCTTTTCCTTTCCTTAAAAATACATCGAAAGTCGCATAATGCTTTTGGAGCTTCCCTTCATCCCCCATGACAAAACTGTTTACTTTTACTACCTGTCACACGCATGACAGCTGGATGAAATGCAAGGTGCTAAAATTGATGCCCCTTTGTTTTAGTTGTCGATGTTCTGTCAGATTTTATTTAACCGTTGAGGTGCTAATTTTAATTTTTTTAGACAAATAAGAGCAGTCTTTTCCCCAAATTCATTCTTAATCGGAATTGATCGAAAAAGAATTTCGTAAGGTGATCTTAGCTGTCAAAGTTTTTTTGGTTGTTATGGTTCCTTTAATAAAATAGAAGGTTGTCTTGTTAAAATATACAGGGTGGACCAATTTCGACAATTTCTCAAATTTCATGAGGACAGAATTCAATTTTCTAGAAAATTTGAAAGGCGAATATTCAAGAAAAACAATACAACATACAATTTCTATAAAAATGTAGGTATTAGGACAATCTATGAAAAAGATTTAGACTGTGGCCTGTGGATTTTTTTCAAAAAACTTTTGTTCAACGTTTCAAAAAATTGAAAGTATTTAAAAGCATCTACATTTACAAACTTAATATAACACTCATTAATTAAAGAAAACTGGAAATAAAAATAGTTACGGAAGCACGCACCTAATGCGTTTTTTAAAACTATGACGTACCTTTTTGGGTTTTGGCGTCATTTATAAAATATATTTTGTTTTCCTACATATCAAGAATTTCAAAAAATACACCTGCTTCGAATTAAATTTTGTCAAATGCGCCGTAAGGATTTCTTCTGCAGCTGTTGAATTATGGATTGGATTGCAATATACTATGAAAGCAGGAACAAATAATGTTATTATTTATACACACCTAGCGAAATAGCGGAAGACGTTGTTCTCTAGTGAAATTATGTGTAAATGAATACTTGCCAAATTTATTTACGTCAAATTTAAAATTATTTCCTAAGGAAACTTTTACGCTCAGAATTCTTAATATATCTATTACCTACTTAAAATATAATTATTAGATAGACACTCGTGGGGATGTCACATGACTTGAGCAATTAATAGAATCCTAAAAATAACATATTAAATATTTGTCTAAAAATTCTAGTCTTTGTCTAAGTTAGAAAAAAATGACTGTAGAAGTTACTTTTACATTACGTTCCTCTGTTTCTGCAATACAGGGTGTATTTTAATTCCATGTCACAAGATAAGAAGTTGTCTCCTTGGGTCATTTTAAACCCGGAAGCTTTATAACCCAAGGGACTAAAGTTACTGATTCACATTTTTTCAATTATCTCCCAAATTGTTTGACGTAGATTGACGAAACTTGAGGAAATTATATTTCTATGTAAATCTGTCAAGTAGTGACGGAGATTCGAGGAAGTCTTAGCTGTAGCTTCAGAACAGTAGTTTTTTAGACCCAGGTCCCATGGACTTTTTTGATCGACACATTGAGGACTATCATTCGGCAAAGTTTCGTACCATTCGATTGGGACCGGATTTCCATAAGGATAGTTACGGGGTCCTTTCTAATAAAAACGGTATCTTGCATTTCCTTTCTGATGTGCAGTGCTTCTGAATTATCTTTAAAATGAACTCCAAAAGTATCGAACAGTAACAGTACAAGTTAACTATATCTTAATTATCAGAAAAAAAAGAACAGATACATATGTTTATAGAAGGTATTGAAAATATTCGCCAGTGTCAGTAATACATGCGATAAGTCTTCGCCTCAATGAGTTTTCCTGACTTGCTATCATCCATTTGTTGTAAATCCGCTTCAATTTCTATTGGTGTTTCATATACAGTGGATCTGAGATGGCATCATAAAAAGAAATTAAGCGTATTTAAGTCAGGAGATCGAGCAGGCCAACTGTTCATATCATTCTCTATTTGGCCTGCAATTGGAACATTTTATAGAAGTTCAGTCATGTGATTTTGTAAGAAAATAAGACCATCATTAAGTCTCAATGGTAGAAAGGCGGGGCCTATTAAGGAAGCACCCACAATTCCTGTCCGGACATTTACTGAAAACTGGGACTGGTTCCTACTTTGAATTATCATGACGGGATTTTCATATGTATAAAAGTGTCAGGTGTTGTATGTGATAGGGATATAGTAATTATTGGTTTCTCAAAACATTTCAAATAATTGTATGACTCACGCGCAATGTTTCTTGTGTTAGTCTATTACAATCTATTTACACAGCCTCTCCCCGGATCTTTGTTGATGTGAAAATGACCCATTTTCTACAAGACGCCGATGAATTTGCGTCTATCTGGAACTTTTCCCGTTTGCAAATGTTTCTTGATATAAACGTTTAGCTCTATTGGCATTTCCGTTCGCTTTATTTAGGTACCTAACTATTTAATTAGAAATGTGACAAGAAATTAAAAGCGCCTACTAATTTTTCCGAAAACCCAGTGGCGTAGGTTTTAATGACAAGGCTTCCCCGAATTCCCGTCACTAGTCGACCGATTTGTATACCGAATTATTCCCTTTAATTAGTTACATCATTTTTCAAAGTTTCGTCAACCTGCGTTAAAACAACATCAGAGATAATTGAAAAAATTTAATATTTTTCGATAACTTTAACGCCCTCTATTTTGGAAACCAGTAACTTTAGGCTCCTTATTTATTAAGGTTTTGAGCCTAAAATGACCCAAGGAATCAGCCCTTTAATTTATGACATAGACTTAAAATACATCCTGTGTATTGTATTTTTGATTTGTTTAACAGAAGTAATACGTTATGTACATCAAATATTAGCATCTCTAGTGGCACATGTATTGAATATAGCACATGTATGTATCTAGCTTCTATCATGCCATAGCAGTTTTGTTAAGGGTGTTTTATAGATATTATGTCACAACTTCAGAATGTATTTTCGAACATTTTAGACTAAAAAGTATTAATGAACCAAAGGTATAAAACCATTCATTTTTGAGACTGAGGTTTAAAAAATTATCCTTCATATTATCTCCGCCATGTTGATGGAGTTGTATGGCAGTTCAGTAATTTTTTGCAGACTACGTCGTTTAAATATATTTAAATACATATGACATACTCAAGTACCTATTTTTATTTAAAATAATCCAAGAAATCCTGAAATTGAATAGTTACATTAGTAGAAATAGCTTTGAACAGAAAAATTGATAACGAACAATCGATTTTCATCACTTAAAGAAAAGTTTTATATAAACTTGTGATGTTATTTTTGCAAGACCTACAGAAATCTGAGAGCCTGTACATCTTGTATACGCATTAAAAGAAATTTGAGTAAAATTAGGTATAATTGTTTACGGGTATATCGGATAAATAAAAATATGACATGACTAACATTTTTTACACTTCATATTCAAATTAATTTTCTAATTTTCTTACCGACTACCTGAAATAACGTCGACCTATTTTCTTAAATCACACTATGCCAGATTCTAAAGAACACACCAAATCCTCTATAAAAATATAAAGTACCTCATAAAAAAGAAACTATTAATATGCCTAGGAGACCTCATTTTGTGTTTATTCTTTCAGTATTCATTACACTGATATACTTGCTTGGAAATAGAGCAAAATAAACTTTACCTATAATAACATAATAAACATATTTTGAAACATTTGTAATTGTAAACTATTACCTACATTTATTAAGTTTGAAGTGTGTTAATTTTGGAGAAACATAAATGTACCGTCTATTCTTTAATTGAATTGCCTAACTTATACAGGGTAGGTATTCCTGTCTATTGAATATCTTCTAAGCCAATTGAAGTATCAGTACTCAATTTACAATTCGATTTTTTAACTGTTGATGATTTGTAGTTATACAGTCATTTCTTCGTAGCTACCTTTATTCCACATTATCTTTATGAAGAAAGCTGTGAAAAAAATTGGTTTGATACAACACATTCTTTGTGACTATACTATACTATGGACAAATTTGGTACAGATACTTAAACTGCTTTAAAAAAAAAACATTGTTAACAAGTCATATTTAAGCTGCTACCTGCTATCATTGAACTTTTGTATTAATTTGTACCAAAGAACACTCTATAGAAGTTTGACAGTAGGATTGAAGGACACCCTCTATTGGTAGATATACTATAATAGGTGCAAAATATATCTTAAAATCCTATTACAGTAATTACATTTCAAATTTGTTTTACAAATCTTTAGGTTGTCATTTTTTTTATTGAATCAAAATGGGTTTCTTAATAGGATAGTTCACTTGATGACAATTTTCCGTATCCTTGAAGTCAGTTTTGCTTTAGCTATGCCTTCAGCTTGAAGACATATTCAATATACACAATTAAGTGCACATGATAGGGGTAGAATCTCGGTAAAGGGAGAATATTGTTTTGAGAAATCATCAACCTACCAAATAAACTCAGTTGTGATTACTGAATATATTATTTGTATTTAGCAAGTAAAACTAACAGTATTGCCTGAAATTTGGAATAATTTTTGTTTTCTTCTTTATTTTTTGGGTACTTTGCCACCTGCGAAAAAAATTTAAAAAATTAATGAAACAAACCTTTGACTAAATAAAATACAGAAAATTGTCAGTAGTAAAGAGTACATTAACAGAAAGCCCATGTTGATTAAACAAAAATACATTTCAATGCTCCCCAAATCTTCAAAAGGGGTTATTGTGAATATGCTTAAGGATTGTAAAGTTTTGGGGAAATCCCCATAACTGTATTTTCGAATCCGCTGAACACAAATTTGGAAATGAGAAGAAATATGAAGAGGTAGGCGATGTCAGTGGAATCGACAATGAAGATGAATCTATACCATAGAATAGAAACAAACAACTGAAAATATTTAGTCAGAGTTATATGATTTTGCTAGGATTATCAAAAGTCGAAGCTAAATAGAGGAACTAAAGGAACCAAATTTTCTGTGTCTTGATCACGTGAAACAGATTTCCGAAATATATTTTTTCCGATTCTAATACAAGTTGATTCAAGTTTACTTGAAATAGCCAAATTGTGTCAGATTGTTTTGTGTTTATTGCTGAAATTTATATCGTTTCTTATGCAAGATACTGTTAC